CAAACTGTCCTTAACTTGAGAGGCAAGAGCTACTATTGAGGGTAAGGAAAAGTGGAAGACTTTGAAACTGTTCTCTCCACAAACAACTCCTTATCTTAAGGATATGCTAGATATTATAGTGACCAATAAAGACCCAAAGGATACAGGGATCATAATCTCTAGCATAGCTTCTATTAATTCACCAGTTTGGTCCTAAAGACACCAGACTGATCATGAGGAATAATAGTACACTAAAGTAAGCTGAACCAAGGAGTAATCTGGGTTGTATCTGCAGTGCCAGGCATGATCTCATTGCTAGAGCAGATTAGTAGGCCTCAGTATGTATCCATTGATTTAGTGAATGCGTATTTCCATTCTAATCAGAAATTGTTTGCATTCATATGGAAAAGATAACAATATTCATTTGCTTTTGGGCTATATTGACTCTCTTACCCTCTATCATAAGATATTCTGAAGAGATCTGAATAGCATTCCAGAGAACATCACATTAATCTGTTATGTTGGAGACGTCGTGCTGATAACATGGCTATCACACTGGAGGCTGTGGTGACACACATGCACTCTGGTGTGGGAAATAAACCATTAAAAGATGAATAAACCTATCACTTAAGTGAACTTTTTAGAGGTCCAGCATTCAGGGCTGTGCCAGACATGTCCGTCAAAATAAAAAAATACATTGCTGCATCTTGTATTCCCTACTGCAAAGAAGGAAGCACCTAGCACCGAGTAGGCTCCTTCAAGTTCTAGATGTAACACATTCCCCATCTAGAAATATTGCTCTGGACACACACCAAGAAACAGAAAAGGCAGCCAGCTTTTACAGGGGCCCTAAATAGGAAAGAGCTCTGTGGTAATGGAAAAAATATATGGATTTGATAAGATAAATTATAATTTATATGAAAAATTTTATTTTTTTTATAAGTCAGAATAGAAGACAAATGGCAATTGGGGAAGTATTTACATAATTAGACAAGTATTATCATCCTTATTATAGAATGAAACACTAACAGATCAAGAAAAAGGCAAGCCTTGGCCAGCTGGTGGCATGGTGGTTGGGGCTGATGAATCTCTGATGGCTGATTGCAAGGTCTGGATTCCAGACCTGGGGGTTTAATAAACACGCTAGGTGGGCCAACAGGTGGCAGAGTGGTTAAGACGCTGGACTCCCACATGGCTGATTGAGGTTTGAGTTTCAGACCCTGCGGCTTGAAACTTATACTAAGAATACATGAGGCAGGCACATGTGTTTGCATGCCCTAAATCCCAAGAGTAAAATGGAGGAGAAAGGATTGTGGCATGACCATTCCCCCTAGGGGGTTGATTCTGTGTGTCTGGTGAGTGCATGCACCCTAATAGCAAAAATCTCTCTTTAAAAAAAAAAAAAAACAAAAACACAGGGGCCCAGCAGATAGTGTAGTGGTGACATAGCTAGACTCCCACATGGCCGACTGTGGTGCAAGTCCCAGACCCTTGAAAATTACACCAGGCATGTGTGTGTCTGTGTGCCCAAGATCCCGAGAGGAGAGTGGAGGGGAAGGGATTTCAGCATAGCCATCCCCCCTGGAGCTGATTTCTCACTTTCTGTTTGTCTCCGGTGAGCACATATGCCCTATAGCAAAATTCTCTCTCAAAAAGGGGGGCGGGGGTTGGCTTAAAGTGTGTGCGTGAGCCAGAGAGAGAGAGAGACAGAGACAGAGACAGAGAGAAAAATCATCCTCCAGGGGGGATGGCAATGCTGCAATCCCTCCTCTTCTATTCTCATGATCTTGGTCATGCACACACAAGCACCTGGCGTGATTTTCAAGGCACTGGGTCTGGGACTCAAACTGCGGTCGGTCATGTGCTAGTCCAGTAATGTGACCACTACATCATCTGCTGGCCCCCCAAATAAAGTTATTTTATTAAGAAAAAAAATTGGGGTGGGCCCTATAGCCTAGTGGTTAAGGAGTTAGATCCCACAGGCTGAATGCAGTTTGAGTACTGGCCCCTGCAGCTGGAGGAACATGCCAGTGCATGTATGCCCAGGGTCCTGACAGAATGGAGCAATGGAAGAATAGGTATTGTGGCATTACCTCGCCCTATTTGGGAGATGCTTTCTCCTTTCTCTGTTTCACTCTCTGATGAGTGCATGTGCCCTCTGGCAATTAAAAAAAAATTTTTGAAAATTGCAAATAACAAATTATAGCTCGATTCTCCCATTGGTTCAACCACCAAAAAATTTCTTAGCTACATAAATTTCCCAGAGCTTATGTATTCTCTCCACAGAGATCTTTTCTCACCTTTACATAGAAGAGTCCTCTTTAAGAATGCCTCCTTTTAGAGTATTTGGCAAATGCGGTAAATTGGCATACAGTAAAAGCTTTCAACACCTCCTCAGGTTCCATGCTCTTCTTGTAGTCTCTTCTCTGCAACTGATCTTGACTCAGTTCATCATAAATCACAGGCTGAGAATACATGGATTTGAACCCCCTAAGGTGAACTGTAGTTGTTCCATGGGCTCTCTGTGTAGGGTACGAGTTGAACGCAGGGAAGATCTTACTCTGTTAGGCACTATCATGCCAGAGTGTGTGTGTCTCATATTTTCCTGAAGTTCTAAGAAAGCAAACTTGCAGGAAATAAAGGATTTTCCTGAGCCCTCTAGCACCCTTTGGCACACAGGGAAAAGGAAGCAGCTGAGGCTATTTTCTTCCAAGGTGAGGGAGACAGCATCTGCCTCATGGTCAAAATGAAGCCACTCCTCAGGCAGTCCCTACATGATGACATGGCAGTAAGAAGCCAGTTACCCAGAGGAAGTTACTGCTCTGTCCTGAGGGCAAGTGTGGACCAGTATCTTGAAGCTATGGCCTGGCATCTGGCCGTCAGGGCAGCAGCTTCAGAAAGGACCCCAATTGGCAGTGAGGTAAAGAACTTGGACAGAGACAACTCAAATTTTTGCTAATTTTAAAAAAGAAAAGAAACGGTATTGGCTGAGAAGAAAAGAACACATGAAGGCAACAGGATATCGAAAACATTCAGCCATGTTTTCATGAAAAGAATTGCAGAGAACTGTGAACACTGGCTATAGGGATGTTTTAGAAGCATATATTTATGGACCCTAATGTGGACACAAATGACTTGGGGGATTAGGATTTCTGAGCTCAGGCACTAAGATCAAATAGTCATGGTTGGTTGGCTATGACTCTATTGCTTATCCTGGCTGGCACAGCCTGAAGAATTGCCTTTTTAATTTTTTTAAAGACATGGTCTTACTACATTGAAGATTCCTCCTGCCTCAGCCTCCTGAGTGGCTGGTACTATACACTTATGCCATCAGGTTGAAACTGAACCAAGACCACCCATTTGGCCTCAGTCCACTCAGCAGTAGCATCAACTGGCATCAACCAGAGCACGGTGCTGTGGCTGAGCTTGAAGAAACAAAGATGACCACCAGACTGCCTAGTTTCAGAGTATGACATAGGACAGCTTATACAGCTAGGCAAGATATAATCAGATGAGAGATCTACTGAGGTAGATGAGAAGAAAACAGGGACCAAGAATTAGGCTACTATAAATAATAAAGTACCCTCTCCTCTGGGATGGAGCACACTTTTAACTCGAGTTGTTTTTGTTGTTTTTTTTATCTGCAAACATGAAAAGTCAACTCACAGTGTCCAGAAGATAGAAGCAAATCAACTGTTCAGAAGTACAAATATTCCAGTAAGGCCAGAATGAAATAATTTATGAGTCTGTAAAAAGAGCCCATTGTGTAATGAATCAACATTCTTAGAGCAGACACAAAGATGAATTTCATAGAACTGTCGTGTAGTGTCCTGTAGTGCTGACCAATGGCTTCAGACTACAAGAAACTATAGATGTGAGTTAGCAAGTTCTTGTCTAGTTACTCTTCACGGGGTCTCCTCTGACTTCTTTCTAGGATATATTCATTATAGGGTTTTTATTTTTTTTAATCTGAGGAAATTATAAGCTAATCTTTAATATTTCTTTATAAATAGTGTTTGCCACAGACAAACCCATTGATGATAGATATTAGCTAGCTGGGGTTCAATGCTGGATATCCTACACCTGTTCTTCAACTACTCTAGGGTTTTTTTGGGGAAAACTGCTCTTGTAGGACCTTGAACTGGTGTAAGACCGACATCTTTAGGGGGAAATTTGAGTCTAGTAATCAGTAGTTTCTTAGGGAATTCTCTAGAGTTTGGCCAAGGTTTTCCTCACCGGTGTGTGTGTGTATGTGTGTGTGTGTGTGTGTGTGTGTGTGTGTGTGTGTGTGAATCTGTGCTTTTACACAGACAGATGGGCCATTTAGGTTCCAATTTCTGCTCAGTGTAATCTAGTCTTAATTAATTTTAGTCTGGAAAATGTTTAAGGAAGGCATAACTACACACAGTGGCCATTAGAAATAATCTGTCCCCTTCCCCCAATTCCCAAAAAGGATCCATAGAAAGCCTAGCTTTGAGTACTATTTCCTGATGTTCTTCCAAGATGAATTATTTGCATAATGTACATCAAGGTATCTGAATGAATTGACCTTCTATACAGAATTAGGAACCAAATTAAATTTGGAAAACACCCTGGTATTTCTAAACTATAAAAAGCTCTATATATATCAGGATATTAAATTTAGGTCAAATATTCATGTTCTAAAATCTTCCAGCTTGTATTTTTTTTTCTATTTATATCTTTTGGCATACTGAAATTTTACATTTTCAGGTAAAAGAATTTTACAATTTTGGTATTACTTTTCAACTTATCCTTAGTGGATCATTTCTCATCTAAAGATGAAATATTCACTTACATTTTCTTTTTTTTTTTGTTTTAGAGGTTTTTGCTATAGGGTGCGTGTGCTCGCCAGACAGACACAGACAGAGAGACAGGAAGCAAGAAATCACCCCCCAGAAGGGATGGCCACACCGCAATCCCTTCTTCTCCATTCTCCTCTTGGAATCTTGGACACACATGCACACACGTCCGGCATGAGTTTAAGCCACTGGGTCCAGGACTTGAACCGTCATCGACTACACAGGAGTCTAGCGACAGTCATTACGCCAACTGCTGGTCCCTTCACTTACATTTTCTACTTCTTACTTTACGTATCTTCAAACCTCACTAATCACTCTATACTTCTTTAAGCATGTAAAGAATGGGAAAAATACTGCTCCCACCCCTATAATTAAGCAACTGTCCCAGAACTATTTATAGTTCTACCTTTTCCTTAGTAATGTGATATCAAGCCTTACTCTAATACCTTTTATAATAAAATCTGTTTCTATGCTCCTTTTCATTAACTAGCATCCTCCCAGCCTTGCCCAATCTAAATCATTCCAAATGGGAGGATTTAACCAACATGGGTCTAAAATGTTACTTTGTTGCTGATGTGTTCTATGGCTATGTCTGTAGTGAACATGTAGTTTTGTCATTATCCCCTCAACAATGCTGTGTAACAACTAGTTACATTGTATTAGGTATTATAAGTAATCTAGTTGATTAAAAGTGTACAAAAAGATATGTGTACATTATATGAAATTACTATGCCATTTTATATTCTCAGGCTGGGGGGAAGGGAGGCTGAAACAAATCCCACTCAGATACCAACAGGCATCTCTATGTACTTGCATGCATTCCACACTGATTTATCTGAAACTTAGTATATCCAGGGCTGGCCCACTAGTGCGGGGAGTTAATTATGCATAGGGAACCAGTTCCCACATAGTTGACCGAAGTGTAAATTCAGCTCTTGCAACTTGAAAAACACTTTAGGTGCCCTTATGTCCATGCCCCAAATCCTGATGGATGGAAAACAGAGGACAAATGATTGTGGTATAATAGTGCCCCATTTGGCAAGTGCAGGCACTATCTGGAAATTAAAAAATAATAATAATGCACCCAATATCCAATTATGCAAGTCCCACACCTCCCATTACTTCATTTAAAACTGTTCCTGGATATTCTTGCCCATGAATTACTTCTTTATAGTGCCATTTTAAATTCTGTAGTCTCTGAGAAAGGGCTCCAGCTCCATGTTCCGGGGTATGGATGTGCTTGTAAAGTGCTGAACCCTTCAGGTTGCAACTAATGTTTTTCCATCTCTTTTTCTGTCCCCAGAAGTGTCCTGAAGGAGATGAGATGGGAAAATGCAAAGAGAGGGAACAGTGAGTTCTAGTTTACCCTCTATACCAGGAATAACTGTCACTATTTTCTCCTGAATTAACTAAGAAAAACACACCTCTCTACTCCAAATATTATCTTCAAAATCTATCAATACTGTTATTACAGAAAAGGGCATATTCCTCCTATTAGCAGAACACTGATCCTGTGACTTGTCAAACAAATCAAAACAAAAACTAATATTGGTCTCGTTATAAAAAATTTACTGTCAAGATCAAGTACTAGGTATAAATAGAAAGCTAAGAATGAAAACAAACAAACAAAAACAAAACTCACAACTTCTAGATATAGTATACAATTTTATTTTGACTGAATAGTTGTATAAGCCTTTAACATAATATAAACATGTACTAATATTAAGGATATTGTAAATTGGAAAATGAAAAAAAATAGAGGGAAAATACATTTAATTATGACAGTTTCCTTTCTTGGTTTACTTTATCATAAGTTCAGAATAATTTTCTTTTTTTTTTTGGTAGAGCTTTTTGCCTTAGGTCGCTTGTGCTCAAGGGAGCGAGACAGAAGACAGAGAGAGGGAAAGTGAGAAATGGCCACAGCCTCAATTCCTTCTCCCTCAGGATCTTGGGTTTGCACACATATGTGCCTGGATTGAGTTTCAAGTCACTGGGTCTGGGACTCAAACTGTGGTCAGCCATGTGGATGTCCAGCAACATACTGCTATACCATCTGTTGGCTCCAGGAATAAGAATATTTTTAAACAGTTTCTTTCTTCCACGAGTGAGAGAGATAATGCGGGGGGCGGGGGCACCCCCAACAGGGTCTGACACCATGACCGCCCTCAACTTGTCAACCTCTGATCGCAGCTCCTGAGCACATGCATGCCCAATGTGTCCAGGAAGGTCTCTGGATACCGATCTGGAATGTTCACATGTGAGTCAGTCTCACAGTTTTACATTACTACTCCACCATCCTCCAGCCTATAGAATAAGAATGTTGATTCCATTTTCACTAAGACTGTAACCTGTCAGATTTTTTATTGTGATTTTCAGGACAATTGTGCCTTTGAATCATTTAGACAAAAGGTATTTGATTTCACTTAGTTTTATGTTCCCTCAAAATTGTTCATAATTATTTCTTTGAACATGGATAAAATACCTGCCTAGTAGATTTTATATTCTGAAGCAACATTCATGTCATATATGTATAATTTGGGTATTCCAATCCTGTCCTACACGGGTCCTTTAAAATTTAGGTTACAATTAAGTAACTTCCACTGTGTCTCCTCTTTCCTACTATCACTATTAATATGGAAAGGTAAAGCAAATACTGTCATTAAATTTTTTTAAGATTTGAAGTCAGAGAATCTTTTCTGAAATTTGGTTTTTGACCCCAGAATTTTGGGAATGTAGTTCAGGCTATCATTTCCTTTCCTGAAAATCAATTTTTATTTTTAATATAATAAAATTGTCCAGAATATACCTTCTCGGGACCAACAATTAGCATAATGGCTATGTCACTGGACTCCCATGTAGTCGACCGCGGTTCGAGTCCCAGATCTAGTGGCTTAAACTAACGCTGGGTGCATGTGTGTGCATGCCCAAGATCCCAAGAGGAGAATGGAGGAGAAGGGATTGCGGCATGGCCATCCCCCCAGGGGGGTGATTTCTCACTTTCTGTCTCTGTCTCTCTCTGTCTTTCTGGCGAGTGCACGTGCCCTACACCAAAAAACTTCTCCGAAAAAAAAGAAAAAAAAAGAACATACCTTCTCAAACAGGTTTCCTCAAATTACAATTATCATAAGAAGAATAAAAACAAATTAAGTCATGTACTTATGCAATAATTTTTGAACATTTTTGGAGAGATAGTCAAAGTGTAAGAAGGATTGAGCTGCCAACCAAGATTAGCAATCTCTATTTCAGTCTTTGCTATTAAGCTAAAAGGGTCATTTTCTCTTGAAGGATGTGAAGAATTCAATCTCTTTCAAAAGTTCCAAAAATCTCTAAGTACAATGCTACCTAACCTCTTGTCATACAGGAAACTCCTGTATGGTGCATCCAATTCACCAAGAAAAATACTGAATTTTCTGTAACAGAAGTCATGGAAAACATCTAGTTTATGCATCCATGACTGTCTCTAGGACATATTCTATTTTTAAGATTTTAGTATAAAATCATTCTTAGGGAATAAAATAATGAATCAACTTAAAATTCCATTCCAAACAAAACATTATTAATTTCAGTTTCACTTTTAAGTTCATGGATCATCACAATACCTTTATATTATCATGCTTATTTTATTAACATGAGCCTGTATCAAACTGTAAGATTTTTTTCCAATCCAATCAATAAACCATTTCCTTATAATCAACCTGACAGAGGTATTTTGGAGTTACCTGGTTACATCAGAAGTCTCACTGAAAACACAAATACAATTAACAAGGCAGTATTGCCTATATCTGGGCTCTTACTGTGATAAAAAATGCCAAATCACACTTTTCACAAATGTTTTTTCCTGTAAGTTCTCAGCCATATTTTGATAAGCTTAGAGAAATAATCCTTTCTTTCCAGTTAGTCTTATATTTCCAAAAGTTTATTTTTGGCATGTAATTTCTTCCTATAAAAGATTTATTTTATTTCTTGAGAAAGAGACACAGACACTCTTGACAGGGTCTCATCACGCCATGATACCCCTCAAGACCCCACCCTAGCAAGGATGAAAGGAGCCAATGTCCAGTGTGTTCAGAAATCTGAATCCCCAGTGTTCCACAGGGCCCCCTTGGCAGTAATTTCTGCTATGGTCATTGGCTACGCTTTTAAACTCACCATGTCTAAATGTTTTGATGCAATTGTTTATGCAATATATGTGTAATTGTTCATACAATATACAGTTGCTTAGATAACATGCAGTAATATATATTAGAACCTCACAACATTACATTCTTATAATTTTCATCTGAAATCAAATCTTGTTGAAATTTCAAGCTTCTGTTCAATCTCAAATGTGTTTTTACTTATACTGACATTCAACTAAATGTTTCTATGTAGTGGTATTGTTTTTCAGTATAATTATTTCATAATGGTCTTTTTAAGCAGCATTGTTTGACATTTTGCCTATTGAAGATGGAGGAATATTTTTGACTTCCACAAATAACACAATTTCTTTCTCTTTAAAATACAAAGCTTTCGGGACCAGCAGATGGTGTGGTGGTTAAGGTGCTGGACACTCCCATGTGGCCGATCACAGTTCGAGTCCCGGACTTGGTGGCTTCCTTTCTCACTTTCCCTCTCTCTATTTCTCTGTGTCTCTCTCTGGTCAAATTAAGATAAATGAATGAATAAATCAAATTAAATAAAATAATTCTAAAAAAATACAAAGCTTTCTTGGCTTATCTTTTTCTTTTTCTACTTTTGATAGTCAAGTCCATAGAAACAATTGTCTTTTACAAGAAAAATAATAGCATAAGTACAATGGCCAATGGCAATTGACACTTGCACCCAGAATAAAGTGAGAAAATAAGGGATGGTAAGAGACTCGTGATCTCAGTGGTACAACTGGGGCCCAACTCTGGTAGGTATTTGTCAACTGGGAATAGAAAGACCTTTATGCTGCTACAGACTGTTTCCCTGACCCTATAAGTGGGTTAAAAAAATTTATGACACTATGCAAATCAACACCCCAAAAGCCAAATAAAACATATCAATAATCTTTTGTCCAAATCCCTAAGGAAACGGTTTCCTTAACTGCATTTTCCACTTGTAGAGCTGTCCACCTGCCTCAAAATTAGGTTAGTACTTGACACAGTTTTGAAGCACTCACTAATTCATTAATTCAGCAGATAATTACTGCCAGAGGCATAGTTCTAGCAGCCAGGGATATAACAGTGAGTAAAACACATTCTTGCCCTCAGAAAAATAAATTCTAGTGAAGGGATGTGGAAAATGAAAAACAGGTAAGTCATAGGTATGTCAGTGAGCAGACGTTGATCCAGAAAACAGCTAATGGTGTTTTAGAATGGTGATCATATTGGTGATGAAAATAGCTAAATTACGAATATATTTTGAGGATGAAACTGAAAAAATATACTAAACTGTAAGACAAATATACTAAACTGTAAGATGTACAAAAAAGGGATAAAAATAACTCTCCAATTTTTAATCTGAGTTCTCTGAATGATGTAGTTGCTATTTGCTAAAGATTGGAAAGACTGTGGGGGCATTTACTTATCTGTTCCTTTGTGGCTAGCACAGGACAACTCAGAAGCTTTGTTTTAGACTTTGGTTTGAGATGTCTTTTAGACAGTCAAGTGGAATTGTTAAATAGGAAGGTGGATATGTGAGCCTGAATTTTAGGTGAGAGGTTCAATTGAAGAGATAAAATTCATAGTCATAGGAGATAGATAATATTTAAAGACATGTGATGAGGTAACATCACTTAAGGAGAGAGTGTAGATAGAGCTTCAGGGAATTGCAGGTTAGAGGTTGAAGGTATGAAGAGGATTCAGGAAATGAGACTGAAGAAATGGCCACTGAGGTAGGAAGAAAAGAGAATGGTAATGTCCTGCAAGTATGATGAAGAAGACGGTCATAAAGGAGGGAGTAAATCAGCTGTTAAATATTACTACTTATAGATCAGGTAGGATGATGATGGAGAAACGATTGTTGGATAGAGGTTATCAGTGATCTTGAGAGCAGTTTGGGGCTGTAAGAGAAGATAAAGGAAGTAGTAACTTCAAGAGCACAAGAACGAAGAGAAATTTTGCTTTTAAGATGACAGAAATAAAACTAGAACTTCTAAGCTGACATGAAAAGCTTACTGTATCTATTGTACATAGCACCTCACTACTCATATGAGATGCCATCTTGGAGGACTGGAAGATATGACAAAATAATGAGGCTAGGTGATTAATGTTAGAATAGTTTAAAAGAAGAAGGTAATTAAAGTATTTGCTTTCACAGAGAAGGTGAGGTTTAAATTCTACTAAAAATACTAAGTTAGAAGGTAAGAAAGTATTACTAGATAGGAAGAATAAATTCTAGACCACAATAGCACTATACAGCAGTGCGTATATGTAACAACTTATTGTGTATTTCAAAAAAAGCTAGAAGAGAGGATTCTGAATGTTCTCAACACAAAGAATTTATAAATGCTTGCGGTGATAGATATGATAATCACCCTGCTTTAATTGTTACACATTGTATGCATGTATTGAAAATATCATACTGTACCCTATAATATACAACTACATATCAATTTCATATAATAACAGTAAAAATAAACACTTTAAAAATCAGTTAGATTTAGGTAGATGAAAAGAGTAGAAACAAAAAGAATAAAGAGAAAGAAGAGTGCAGTATTTAGGAAGCTGAAAGTCAGATTAAGAAGAGTGATAATGTGGAGAGGCCTTGCCCATCAGCTAAGATCTCGCTTTATTATTTTGTCAGTGTAGAGTAAAATAGTTAAATAACCCATGTCTGGTAGCTCTAGAATTAAAAAATAAGATCTTGTTAGTATTTGTTATGAAAACAAATTTCCTTTTAATGATTTTTATTAGAAAATTCTCTCAATTGTCTTCCAACCTAGGAGCACTAGATATCAGTGAGATGAACACTAATACAACTATGTAAGTTTTTTTAAAAATTTAATAATTATTTTTAAGCATAAAGATTGTGCCCTATACATAACAAAAACACTTTTAGGTACCATAAATGTCCTGTTAAAATGTTGATCTATCCTATTTTTATGCTATGGAATGGGATTTTAGAAATTATGTTATAAATAAGACAAGTTTTAAATAACTTACTTTTAATTAACTTGTTAGGCCTGTCATAGTTCATAATATTCTACATTCTTTTAATAAAGTCTCTTCCTTGCACTACTTTATGGCTTTAATTATAAGGAATCTTTATCACATTTCCAATTTTTATCTTCTTCACTAGAAAAGATCCTGTTAAAAGAAAAACAAATATAAAGGTTTTTTTTTTTTTTTTTTCCCAAAATGAGTGTAGAGTGTCCTGAGTTTTCATCAGTCTTCAAAATTACCCTAAGTCTAACCAAACTTAATATTTAAAATTTTTGGAATAGTTATCAAGACCAACCCTTTCAACAACTACACATGTTATTATCTTTTACCAATGAGGGAAGCTATTAGGTTTCACTTTATGAACCACCATTACTGGAGGTAAAAATGATAACATATTAGCAATTTAATAATGTTCAATGTAAAATCTTTAACTTGGTTCTAAGATTTTCCAGATTGGTAAAAGCTTAAATTTACAGCTTGAGAGGGATATTCTCTTAGAAATTGCATCCATTGATACATTGGTTTTCATTTTGCATATATTTCATGAAGGGCCTGCCCTAAGTCCTGTGCTTTATTTTCACTTATTTATTCTTATAGTTTACAATCTAGTAAAAAAGAATTAAACAAATATGGTTATACTTATTACCATTAAAGGTAACTTTACCAAGCTTAAAAGTGTCCTATGTTAGCATTCAGAATAATAAAGTATTTTTGGAGAAAAAAATATACTCATCTTTAAAATTGTAACCAGTTAACTTATCTTACAATGGAATAGTAGATTATAAATATTATTTTAATACCAGTACCTAAAGTAAATAAAATTATTTAGCTGTAAGTACAGGAAATAGTTTTTAAATGTAGGCTGAATTTTTAATGCTTCTGATGGCTATCTACAAAAAGGGGAAGATTTGACTAAAGAAACAGGGAAGGGTCAGAGTAGAACCAAGGCAAGTAAATACCTTTGGGAGCCAGATGGTAGATTTCTGAATGTATTTCTATTACCAAAAAGCTGAGTTTGGAGAACCTTTGTGGTTTTATCTCAATTTTAGCATGTCTAAATATTCTGTCACACATCTTCTGAAGAATGGTACAACTGAATAATGCAACTGGTCAGTTGAGTCAATGGAGAAAAAAAAAATTCAGACATTTATTATAGGTAGGTGCTGTCAGTGTGGTTAACTTCCCCAATAATCTTTTACCCATTAAGATTCAATAATGAGGGGCCAGCAGGTGGTGTGGAGGTTAAAGGAGCTGGATCTCCACATGGCTGACTGCAGTGTGAGTCCTGGACCTGCCGACTTGCTTTCTTGCTTTCCCTTTCTCTATCTTTCTCTGGTCAAATTTAAATATAATAACAAATTGAATTAAATAAATAATTATTTTAAAAACAGATTCAATAATGAAACCAAATACAAAATAGAATGTATTTTAATTATAGAACATTATGTTTTAATTATATTATTAATTATTATATATAACTATATATATATATATATAAAAACAAGGCTGCATATTAAATAAAAACATGTGATGAAGAAATAGGACTTACAGTTAAGCTTTAGGTTTGAGTTCAAAAAGGAGAGAATAACTTACATATTCATATGGGCATCACTATTGGGAGATATAAGTGCTTCAAAAAAAACAGAGGTACTGGTCATCTTTACTTTCCAACTGTTGCATTGAAAAGAATCTTCTTCAGGTGATAAAACTTACAAGCTAAATTCAAATGCACTCTGCTCATTGGCAAACTACATGAGAAAGAATAATGTGATCACAGCACTTGGAAGTTTTTGATTTATAACTATATTATTCTCTACTTATAAGGCCGCAGTCTAGGAGCCAGAGCAATAAATCATTACAATTGTCTATCTGGGAAATGTCAAAAGATTAAGTAAGGGCAAAAGGAGAGAGAAAAGAAAAGAACACATGTTTCTGTCTGAAAAATGCTCCTCAATTAACGGGAATAGATGAGTAACACATAAATCCTGTGCTACAGAAATAATAATTAAATTTTCAGAATCTTTAAGTAAAACTACTAATAAAGTCATAATGCTTAAACTTCTTGGGTGTAAGGTGGATTACTCTCAGGAGCCCTGATAACTAAATTATTTCTTATTTAATGATCATTTAGTGATCAACCCCTATGTATTAAGAGTTTGAAAAAACAAATTTATATTGAGGAATGAATTAGAAATTTAAACCAATCATCCAGGTTTTTTTTTTAAAAAAGAACACATAATAGTTTAATTCATACTTTGCCAATACAAAAATAAGCATCCACAGAACGTTTATTTACTGATTAAATTACTCCATTGTTTCACATATGGTGAACAGAAAATATATTTTACCCCGCACATAAAAGCAAACAAGTGCAATCTTTCAAACATTAAAAATAATAAATCTGTACAACAGATAAATAAACGTATACCTCTAACAGTTAGCTTATATAAAAACAAAACACAACAAAACGAAAACATTTATTGCCCAAAGTCACGGTTTACTCAAAATTGTACTAATGGGTCATACATCTCAATCATAACAACTTGAATTTTTACTACACTGCACAAGTTTATATTGATAAATATTTTTTTAAAAATAGGAGAGGAAATACCAAAATGGCTATAAAGAGCTTTCCAAACATTGGAAATAATATATCAGAATTAATTAGTGGGGGGAAGCAAATTAAATGAATCCACAGAGTAACAGGCATTACACTAGTATAGCTTACAGAAAGGAAAGAGGTGAAGGTTGGGATTGGAAAGAAAATTTGGCCTTTTTATAAAAAGAAGCAGTGACAACATCAACAATAACAAAACCCTGCCATGGAGACTTAGAACTCTGTGAGACAAAGAGTACCAAGATTTAGGCTTGTATAACTATTAGCCATAGTTAGAAAGAGGAATCATGTCATGAAACATACAACATCAGAACATGAACGCATATAAATTAAAGGCATACTGTTTATCATTCCACATCATTGCACAAGTGATAAGAAAACAATACTGCAGTCATTCTTGAGTAAGAAAGTTTTCAGTGACATTGGAAGTTCCGCAATGATTACAGGTGCAGATAGTCTTAGTACTACAAATTTAGTAAATATCAAAACACTCAGTGGTACCACTAAGCTAATTAAATTATCTATCTATCATCTATCTATCTATCTATCTATCTATCTTTAGAATATTACATTCGAAATGTACATTCCAATATATACAACCACATATGTTCAATAGACGCCACCGAACTGTCCCCTTGCCGCACACGTTTATACTTACATATACGTTTATAGCTCCACATAGATGCTTTTTCTCCTTTAGGCAGACACAAAGTAAGCCAAAAGAATTGAAGTTTTTTAGGATTTTAAGAACTTAATGTCTTGATTTATCTTGAATGGATGATAAGATAAGGAGTCCACAAAAAAACGCAGCTATACATGCCAACCTTTTTAAGAGACTTGAGTTATCTTTAGGAATAATAATCTGTGCGAGATCATTAGTGATCTGAGAAATTTCATGAGCCACGCAAACAAATATGAAAGTGCTGACCATGATGTTGAGCATAGGATTTCCAGGTATGAGTACTAAGACACCCCTCGTGTCTGCTGCCAGCCATATGTGATATTGGCAAATAAACAGCTAGGAGGAAAAATATGTAAAGTTAGATATATATAGGGAGCACCCATGAATAAATCACAATTTTTCCTGATTTAAACATTTGATTCCATAATAGTGTTAGAAGGCTTTCTTTTCCCAAAAGATTTTATTTTGTCTTGCTGTTAGCCCTGAAAAGACCCCCTACAGTTTTCTTTCTAGAACCTTACCTCTACATAACCTCGCTTATGAATGAGACTAAGTAAAATAATATTTATCCAAGAACTCAAAGAGAAATTTATTTCCCTATTTCAAAAGACTAATAAGTCTTATATTCTAAAATGTATCTATTATGATTACAATATGAAATCTATTGTTATAATAAAGTTCACATCACTCAGGATATATTTCAAAATCTACTGTTTAAATTGTTTGTAGCTAATTTTGTATTATATATCTCACACACAGTGTAATGAGTCCCATTTTCCCACAATTTCCAATCATAAAAAGGGTGAATTTTATTATGGTATCAATAAACTGAATTGTAGTAATATAACATTTAATTATAGAGATGAATGACTAATCAAAATTCTCTCAGTTTGAGTTTATCTACATTGGATCTAATATGTTTCTTTTCTGATTTTAGCATCTTGGTTGTGCTTCAAAGTACAATACAATGAAAAGAATATTTTAAAAGTCATCTGTGTTTAATCATTTTTAATAAGGTGTAAAAAACATTTCAAAATACTTTATTGATGTTGAAAGTTCTGAGACTTTTCCCTATAATTCCAATAAATAACAAAGCTTTATTTCCTGATAAGTTTTTTCAAATGTAATCTTATTTAAAAATCTTCACACTGGGGACCAGCAGGTGGTGTTGTGGTTAAGGCGCTGGACACTCCCACATGGCCGACTATGGTACAAGTCCTGGACCTGGTGGCTTGCTTGCTCACTTTCCCTCTCTTTCTGTGTCTCCCTCTGGTCAAATTAAAATAAATAAATGAATAAATTTTAAAAAATTCTTCACATTAAAAAATACATGTCAGATTTATATACCCACATATATTTACACATACACGTACAGATGTACACACACATAAACCTGGATATATAAGATGAAGCAAAATACAAATGTACCAACCTCTAGTGAAATTTTTCCAAACCAAGCAAAAAATGAACTGTAAACCGAACGAGCATATCCAGGGATGTTCCTTATTAGAATGAAGGCTAAAATCTAAAATATGACCACAAAGATAAATATTAATAATCTCTTTATTAAAAAAGTATTTTACATGAAGCTTTCCTTTAAATTGTACATTTATTCTTTATCTTCTTAAACACATGAGTGCTTATTGATTCTTATCTCTATTAGGCTGTAAGTTGCTTAAAGGCAAGAGCCATATATCTTGTTGAACCTCTTTACATCTAGCATAGTACTTAACACAATTAGATAATTATTATCTCTTAAAGAAAGAAAGAAATGATGAAAAAGCAAATATGAGAAGAATTAACATTTCCTAAGTGCATATTAAGTGAGGAATACTGAGCTAGATCATTTCCATGCATTTAATTTAACTACCCTTTGAAAGATTTTTAATATCCCTGTTACTAAAGAGGAGGGTAGGGCTGAGAAAGTTCCTACATTTGAGTTCACCCTCAAATCTCTCTACCTCTAAAGACCATGTTATTATTAAAATTAGCAAATAAAAATTTTTATTACTCAGCATAATTACCTGTATCACAGAAACAGATGGGTGTAGTTCATTGCACTCAGCTTTGTTTTTACAACTGCTAGCCCAGATCGAATAGGTCTAAAACAAAACAATGTATGGATCAGCTTGTAAACAGTTGCACCTTAAAAAGCCATAATTCTGACAACTTATATTTTACAGTTCTCTTTATTTATAAGATTATAATTCACTATGATATAGGAAAAGCATCAGTATAAACTGCCCTCAGGATTTACTCACTACTTGTTCTGGTATGTTTGACTGTCCAAACATAAAAAGGCAAAGGAGGAAGTGATTTCTGAAAATAGTGATCATGAGGCAGTGATGGCTTTTCACATCTAACACCTTATGACAAAAGGTGCTGGATCACACCAAAACTTATTACAAATTTTTAAATTTCTACTCATTGAGCTCTCAATTATTTTTCATATTTAACATGTATACATATTCTCTTTAGAATGAACATCCAATTGAAAACTAAGTAGTGGCCCGTCTGTAGTGGTACAGCAGGCCCTAGCACAGGGCACTGCTGCACAATGGTAGGACCACAGAGAGCACAGCTTTAGGTTCTAGACCAACCTAAACACTATGGCATGCAGTGCATGCCTGCAATCCTAGCTAACTGGGAAACAGATGGGAGGATCATGGCATGGTGAGACCCTGTTGAAAATACCTATTTTCTATGTTTGTGTTTTTGGGTTTTTTTTTCTCTCTCTCTCACTTTCTCTCCCTCTCACAAGAAAATAAATACATAAGGATAAAATATTTTAAAAAGTAAAAATTTATTACAATAACTGATTACATTCATTTAACTTAAAGTTAATTTTCTATACCACTTCAAATTTTGGAAAATAAGATTACATTTAAAAACTTACCAAGAAAGAAACAACTGAAATAAAGAGTAGAAAATTTGAAATTTTGTTTGAAAAGAGAGGTTCACCCTTTCCTTCAGAAAGTACTTGACGCTTTTGTAAAGCCAGATAAATAAAAGCAAACAGCATGCCATGAAAGACTACCTGAAAATAAAGATAATTTATTTAAAATAGTTACTTTTCAAAAAAGCAAAAATGTTTGGTTAATAAAGAATCTATGTATAAAAGCTAGTAAACTAAAAGCTAAAAAGGTTTGGCATTTCTACAAAGGACTTAAAGAGCACAACTTCAGACAATGAAATAAAACCAATGACTGTTAGAAACCATCAAAAATAGACAAACAAATATCTCCTGCAACAGTATGGGACAAAACTTATCATTCTGAAATGATCATTTAGGCTTGTATACTTGAGAGCCACAGTTAGCAAGTGAAATAATAAGACAATTTAAAAATAATAATAAGGAATTCACCTAAAGATACATGATGATATTTAAATGGAAAAATTGCTATATTAGTTCTTTTAGTCAAATAAAATTTTAAAAAGTCATACTTTTTAAAGAGAGAATATGCACATAAAAGCGAAAAGATATATGGTAGACCAGAAAGTATGCAAGCTTTCTTTTCTAAACAGACTTAATATAAACCATCACTGCAGTAGAGTGAATATTTGTGTCTCCTAAAAGTTACTATGTTGAAATCTAATCCCCAATGTGGTGATTTTTGGAGCCTTTGGGAAATGATCAGGTCATGTGGGTTGAACCTTCAAGAATGGTATTAGTACCCTTATAAAAAAGGACCCAGAGAGTTTCTTTGCCTTTTCCATTATGTAAGGATATAGTAAGAAGATAACTGTGCATGTACCAATAAGTGGGCCCTCTTAAACACCAACTCTGCTGGTGCTTGATCTTGGACTTCCCAGCCTCCAGAACTGTGCAAAATTTCTGCTCCTTATACACCACCCAGTCTATGGTATTCTGTTACAGCACTTCAAACAGATGAAGACAATAATTTCACAGTGGACTGCTCTGATGAAAAAGTTGAGAATTTAAACTTATTTGATGTGAAGTCATTAGCAGAGATTTTTATTCATATATGGTTTTGAAATACACTGTATTACACTGAAAAGTGCATAGGTTTTAGAGACCAGAAATGGTACAGAGTAGTTGCTAAGAAAACATTTGTTGCATAGCAAAGAGATTTACTAAATATTAAAGGAAAAGGAGACAGAGTTAAGTGATTGATATTTATTTGGCATCTCTTGTTCCCCAAATGCTGTGCTAGATGTTTTACATTTCTTGGCCAATGACCTTTTTCTTTTTTGAGAGAGAAATTTTTGCTTGTATACTTGAAATGTGTGCTTGTACGCTTGTATGTGTGCTTGCTGGAGAGACAAAGACAGAAAGTGAGAAATCACCCCCCACCAGGGAGGATGACCACTCTGCAATCCCTTTTCCTCCATTCTCCTCTTAGGATTCTGGGCATGCACGTACATGCACCCAGTATGAGTTTTAAGCTGCTGGGTCTGGGACTTGAACCGTGGTCAACTATGAGGGAGTTAGCGACATAACCATTACGTCATCTACTGATCCCAGTCAATGATTGTCTTAACCATCCTTCAAGATTAATTTCATAGAATAATCTAAGACACTACTCTTTATTCTTTGCATACTTCTACAAAATCCATACTGCATACCTTAGTACCTCATTACAAGTAGTAATACTGAGTTTTAAACAATGTTGTTAATGTTCAGAAGCCTGATATGTCTTCCTTCTCTGATATATAATTAAAAATGTCAACAATGAGGGAACATATTTGAGCTTAATAAGTTAGAACTCAGAGAAAGGCCACTGTAAATACAACAGTTTTACAATATCTTACTTCTGCTATACATACACAAGCATACCATTTTCACTACTGTAAACAAAAAGGGGAAAGGACTGCTTTGACTTACTCAATCAAAATGTTCCTTTATTCAAAAACTAAATAAAAATAGATAAAAATTTCCCAAACCATTTCTAACAGCATAATTTGAAAAGACAAAATATCACAAAGTAAATACATACATAACGGTCTAACCTCCATCTGAACCACCATTCATATACGCTCCCTTTCAGTTCAAAACACTTGGACAATGGCCAAAGAGAAAAGATCTTCTCAAATGCACCCTGAGAAAAGGAATCCAGAAAAAAAAAATTAGGATGATATAAACCAATACTTGCCTTGTAATTCTATTATAAGCTGTAGTTTTCTTAAGTTAGGATTATATAAGGGTCATTCACAATTTTAAAATTTATTTCATTTGAAAATATCACTTCATTTGAAATTCACTTGGAAATAAATTTATTGTGGGTGGAGGGTTTGTGAGAAAAATTTTAATGGCTGTAAGAATGCACTTAAGGGGAAAGTGTATGGATTGGTGTACCACAACATTGAAAATGTACAGATAATTTCATAGTAAAAAAAAAAAGTAGAACTATTATCAAATATGATCAACATAATGTAATGTTCAATGCTGAAGAAGATGAGGATGTGTAGATCCTTGATTTGATTATCATACACTATATGTATGCTTTAAGAAAACCGTATTGGGGCTGGTCCTTCAGCCTAGTGATTAAAGAAGCCAGATCTCACATAGCTTAAGGAAGCTAGATCTCACTATAGTTTAAGTTCTGGCTGTGGTGACTTGAAAAACATGCTGGGAATGTGTGTGTGTATGCCCCAATCCCAACTGGATGGAGAAATGGAGGAAGGACTGGAGTGTAACTATGCCTCACTGGGCGATGCTTTCTCTCTGGTGAAAACATGTGCCTTCTGGACATAAAAAAACAAAACCATACTGTATCTCACAAAGATATGGATTGATCATATATAAACCAGAAATCCTAATTTAAAAAAATAAATTGAAAAAATTACATGTGGAAATTAATAAAAACAAATATTATTTTACCAATAGCCAATAAAGATGATTTAATACTTTTTAAACTTTCACTTCATGTGAAAAGCTACTGAGACTACAAAATTAAAAACAAAACAAACAAAAACCTTCTAGTAATTGCATAGATTTTCAATCTAGGACAAAAAGCATCCTATATTCATTAATTAAATAGAAAGGGACAAAATACTTCAGCCAAAAAATTCTATCAATATCCTAAAGAAAATTATTAAGGTTAAGATATAGCTTTAATTTTTCTAAATAGCTGCTAACTGCTACAAAAAAACCTTGGATGTCAGATAGAAATAGAAATGCCTTAAATATTTCTAAGTGTGAAAATAAATATAAAATATTTACATATATATATATATATATACACACACTCACACATATACACACACATACACGTGCACACACACATACACACTATATTTAGAAACCTAAAAAAACCCAACTGAGGCTGATAAGATTACATGTACACACAAAATATCTATAGGACATATACACCTGACACAGAAGTATATGCATTCAAATAAAATATTTTGCTATATCATGCCATCCAAATAATATGTCTGTCTGATGGACTGAACCAATGTGTAGCAGACTGTCACCTTCCACATACACACACACACACACACACACACACACACACACACACACACACACACACACACACACACACACACACACACACACACACACGCACACACACACAAATAACCCTTAGGAAAATCTCAAACATCAGAATGGGGGATGAAAGTTTAGAACTTGGAAATGACCAAAAATTTTATTAAATTAAACATTATATATGTGTGTGTGTGTGTATGTGTGTGTACACACACATACACACACACACACATACATACACACACAACCCCTTTGCTCCTAAATTGGTTTTATTAAATGCCAAGTTTTCATTCTATGCAATTACAAAAAAAAAATCAAGTAACATTTCAATGCAATGAATAATGCACAAACTAAGGTACAAATTCTGTCAAGAGACTTTTGATCTCCACTTAGAGTAGTATAAGAGGCATTCAATAAACGTTTGATTGATCAAAGTCAGGCAAAATGGATCTTTAACAATTGCCAGAGGAAGAGCTTTAAATTGCTCTTACAACAAAAACAGGGGTAACAAAAGTAGATAGGTCTCAAAAGAACTACACTAAGTATCAACTACAGAGTGACATTTTTATTACAGTCATTAAAAAATGTAGCTTAAAAAAAAAGCTCTGACTCTTCTCACATGCTTTAATAGACTTGAACTTTAAAATATTATAAACTGAAATCTGTACAAACCTGAGAATAAGCCAGAAAACATATGGATAACAGCAAAAAGGTTAGTTTCAACAGCAAACCAAAATGCCATAAACAATTTCCTAAGAGAGAAAATATTTAATTTACTAAGAAATATAAACTTATATTAGAAAACATATTAAATACTCATGTATTTATACCCTGATTGGTTCTTAAAATACTTTAAGGACATACAAACTAAACCTAGTTATTTAAATTACAAATAAGGCAAAAAGAAAAAAAGTGGAGGATTCTTGCTAGGAATGAGGCTACAACTTATAACTGATATCCTGTACACCCCCTGTTTATTCACTATAAATATATTTTTAAATACCTCCTGGATTCAGTTATATTATTCATTATTGAAAGTTATAACAAAAATTGGAACAATACATTTGTAGTTCGAACAAACACTCATGTTAGCTATAACACATGTTGGCACTATTGCTTAAACACTAAAGTCCCTAGGAGAAAGCTTAACTCCTTAAGAAACTAGAATTTAAACAGAAGACATAATTTAACATTTTAACATATGCATATTGTAACTTATGTATTCTAAGTTTATATATATTGGTAGTAATTTATTTGATTAACATGCTGAGTTTCTGAAGAGGAACTGAACTACAAAGATTGCCCTGTTACATTAATGAACCGAAATTTAACTCCTTCCTGAAAAATTATTTAATATTTTAATGAAACCCAGTGGAAAAACTTTTTTTTTTTTTTGGAGAGATTTTCGCTATAGGGTGCGTGCGCTCGCCAGACAGATAGAGAGAGACATAGAGGCAGAAAGCGAGAAATCACCCCCCAGGGGGGATGGTCACGCCGCAATCCCTTCTCCTCCATTCTCCTCTCGGGATCTTGGGCACGCACGCACACGCACCCGGCATGAGTTTTAAGCCACCGGGTCCGGGACGTGAACCGCGGTCGACTACGTGGGAGTCCAGCGACATAGCCATTACGCTAACTGCTGGTTCCCCTGGAAAAACATTTTTGATACACAATATTTGGTTGAAATAGTCAAGTTAAGTACATTTTAAAAAATAAAATGTTTTTAATTTTTCAAAAAAAATTTTTTTTTAAACAGTATGATTTAAAAGGAAAAAAAAAACATTAAGCGATGTATGTAACTGTGGACTTACTTTGAACATTGTCAGTAATTAGCTATGTGAAATTTGAAAATGACCTTTTGGGTACTTAGGCTTCCTCATATACAAAAAAAGTAATAACTGCTTAAATGATTGTCTATAAGATAAATTATATCAGTACCTTTAAACTTTGTCTTACATAAAAAGACTTTTTGCAAATGAATGTTAACTCAAAATCTCAATAAACCAAATAAAGTAAAGTTATCAGGATTAAAGCAGGATGTGGGGCCTGAAGCCCTGTGCAGGTATCCGTTTTCTATTCTAGCTACCTCCGCTCCAGATAATATGTAAAATGATTTTGAAAATTTTAAATTTAAAAAGGAAAAAGTACATACTTTTATGTGCATTTATACATAATATAACTGTAAACCACTGTTCTGTACTATTATATTATTTGAACTACTTAGCTATAAAATTTTAGAAATGAAGTTTAAGAATAAATTTTCAAAATGTCAACTACACATAGACTTAAACTGTCCACATCTATTAATAAAAATAATTGATTTTAGTAAGTACAAAGATATTTAGTATATTTAACAAATATATTTTATAACATTAGTAAGAGAATGTATTTACCATTTGCTTTTTTTTGGATTATTTGTGGCCATAGTGCTAAAGTGACATATATGACCATAAACCACACAGTGACCAAGGGAACAAAGTAATAGAATTGATAAGGCCGATCCATAACTATGCATAACACTACTACCAGGAAATTGAGACGAAATAAGACCTATTAAAAAGGAGAAGAAAACAGTTTTATTCCAGGAATACATAAAAAGCAAAGAGATTTTTCTCTGAGAGTATAAACATTTAAGACTCAAATAACAACTGTACAAATATATTTTACTAATCTCTAAAATTATGTCTGTTCCACAATAACTATAACAGGGTATATATAAAATATTTACTCATCATTATATTAAATAAATCCCAGCAGAGCACCAGCCTGAGTGTCCTCTTGCTACAAATGCCATCTGGTTATAAACGTAGGGAAAAATATAAACCTTCTTCCTAGGGCTACAGTTTATAAACAGAGATTAGAAAAGGGTTTCTATTTTATTTCTTATTTGATATTGATTAAACCCATTTGAGATAAAACTGACAGCTAACATAGATATGAAATAGTGTTATACAAACTAAAAAGTATCTTTGGGACCTTTCAGATATCACTTTGATGCCATAAGAATGCAAAATTTGATTAATATTAGTGCTCTACCACTTTTTAAGTGATCTTGGGCAAATTGCTTAATGTATTTGAGCCTAGGTTCCTCATCTGTAAACACAAAGATAACAACTCAGGGTTGTAATGAGGGTAAATAAAACGATCTTTAGGCAATGCTTAGCACAAGGAAGAAAATAAATATTAATCCTTTTCTCAGAGAGAGAAAACACAGCATATTATAATGATTTCAGGTGACTATACAATTTCTACAAAACTAAAGTGAATCAGTGATACCATCCCTTGAGTATCAGTGCTTTTATTACATATTCATCTAAATTGTATTTACCTTCCATCACTAATAAATTATCTCAAACTACTAAGCAAAGGACATAGAAATAATACAACTTTAAAGCACTGTTTCATAAATTCAATTACTCATGGCCTTGGAATGACCATATTTACATTTTCTTACCAGTTAGGCACAGAGCATGCTGAATTGAAATGAAAAAAAAAAACACCACAACTGAACGCATCCCTACCTGACATACTCTATGGATCCCAAAGTCTCCTTTGATCCAAAAGTAGGAGAAATGCCCATACCCTGTCTGAAATAAATATGCAGCAACCAGAACTCGAATGTGCATGTACACAGGCAAAAACTGTTGACAAAACAAAAGGTAAAATATGTGTTGGCATCAACTACATTTTGGCTTATCGCAAGTACATTTAATGAAGATAATAAATCATCATTATCATTTGGCATTATTAGCTCAAAGGAAAAATGTATTCTCAAAAGGTGGCTATTACAACAGGGATTACGAACATGTCGAGTTAGAAAGCAGACCTAGATTCAACTTCTGATTCTGCCACTGTCTTGAGACTTCATCAATGATCTATTTAATCAGTAAAATGAGACTTTCACCATTCTTGTGAGGAATGAATTAGATAATAAAAGCACTTTGTAGATTAACTTGCACCCAGTTACAACATATGGTACCTATAATTATTAATCACCACATATTCTGAAAACAGGATTATCCTGAGAAACAAAACAAACAAGAACCCTCATTTTTGGCATTGTTAAATATGCAGACTTCAGATCAGCATATAAGGTAGTCAAGGAACTACTTACAGTATCTAATTTATTTAGCAACACATAGTTTCAAAAGCATAAGCAAATATAATTGAGAGATATTATTTCCTTCCCACTACTATTTTATGAAACAAGTTTGTTTTACACTTCTACATCATTGTCTTCATTATGACTAGGGCTCTGAGTCATTTATTGTTGTTTTTCTTGGAGTATCAGATCTTCACTTCTAAGTTGAACGAAATACAACACACTTCAAATTCACATATGATAGGAGCTACTAGAAATCTTATCTCATAAATTGTAAGTACTAATTTCATAACCTTAGAAGACTGTCATCCCACCTGTCCATCAGCCATTGGTTAGCTGCCTTAAATATGCCACCTGGCTGGCCCCATAAAATGACCTGTAAAGGGCCTGTTCAATGACATCTAATCCTTCCATCTATAAGGCTGTTCCTTTTGGGATAATTACTAAGTATAAGTAAAATTTCTTTGGCTTCTATTTATAAACTAATTTGATCATCTCTGTAATTATCTAGCATTCATACTGCTTAAGGCATTTTACATTAATGTATCTTCACCAAATAATATCTTATAAGATAAAATAATTAAGTGATACCTTAAGTAGATTTCTGTAAGGCCTTAGAGTATGTATGTTTTGTAACATTCTTGAATGCATCTCTCTTTTAAAAAAATTAATTGATTTTTTTTTTTTTTAGGGGGAGAGGTTTTTGCTATAGGGTGTGCGCACACGCCAGAAAGACAAATAGAGACAGAGAGATAAAAAGCGAGAAATAACTGCCTGGGGGGGCTGGCCACGCCATAATCCCTTCTCCTCCATACTCCTCTCGGATCTTGGGCATGCATGCACACATGCCTGATGTGAGTTTAAGCCACTGGATCCGGGACTCGAACCACAGTCGACTTCATGGGAGTCCAGTGACGTAGCCATTACGCCATCTGCTGGTCCCAATTAATTGATTTTTTTGAGATATTTTTGCCACAGGGTGAGTGTGCTGGCTGAAGAGACAGAGATAGAGAGACCAAAAGCGAATTCCCCCTCCCCCGTAGATGGCCACATTGCAATCCCTTCTCCTTCATTTTCCTCTCAGGACTTTGGGCATGCGTGCACACAAATCAGCGTGAGATTAAAACTGCTGGGTCTGGGCTCGAACCATGGTTGACTACGTGGGAGTCCAGCGACGTAACCATTACACCATCTGTTGATCCTTGAATGCATCTCTTTCTAGTTTGAGAAATAATACCTTCTTTCCTGGAAGAGCAAACTCTGAATTTTTAATAGCAGATTTAAATTTCTTTAGATAGCTTCTATTCTCACCAAACCAAAAGATTTTCTGTCGTCCAAACGGGTCCTTCACATGCTTCCTTGTTAACTCTCTTTTGTTTACGTGTTTATTCTGTCCTGGAATGTTCTTTCCCAACCACATTTTGCTTATTCAAACCCCATTCTTCATAGCCTGGTTCAAAATTCCAATCTTTACTATCCGATGAATGTCATTTCTCTTTCCTCTCTTTCTCTTTCAAATAAACTACATATTTGGTTGTTGGAAAAGTCATGATGCATTTTTGCATAGAAAAACAAAAAAATACATTAAGACTTTTCTGACAATCCAATGTATATCAAACATAGAAGTTTTATTTATTGCACCTTGTCATCAGCTCTTTTTAAATGTCTTATCTCATTATGAGATAACATCAAGATGTAACGTATTAGAACCATGGGGAAGATGATGGAAAATGTAGCTTTGAAATAACTTCAGGGGAACCAGCAGTTGGCTTAATGGCTGTGTCGCTGGACTCCCACGTAGTCGACCATGATTCGCATCTCGGACCCGGTGGCTTAAAACTCACACCAAGCGCGTGTGCGTGCGTGCCCAAGATCCTGAGAGGAGAAGGGATTGCAGCATGACCATCCCCACTGGGGGGTGATTTCTCGCTTTCTGTCTCTATGTCACTCTCTGGCTGGCTGGCGAGCGCACGCGCCCTACAGTGAAAACCTCTCCAAAAAGAAAAAAAAATAAATAAATAACTTCAGAATTTACTTAATCCAAACCTGCGTCCTTACTTTATTCTTGAATGCTCTCTATCCCCTTTCTGGATTTATTTAAGTACATTTTAAGAGAAAACATATTGGATTGTTGGAAAAGTCATGATGTATTTTTCTATGCAAAAATGTGTCATGACTTTTCTCATGACCCAATATAAACTCCCAAAGCAATCCATTCCATTTTCAGATGGACATTAACTACTTCAAAGTTCTTTTTCATAAAAAGTCAAAATATAACTATATATAAAAGCTACCTGGGGTGGGAGCATGGTACAGTGGTAAAACACAATCCTCTATGAAGGTGACCTACAGAGGAAGGTTGCAGTTCACACCCTGAAACCTATGTGGATGCTGGGCACATATATGACCATGATCTGGGGTTGGCTGAAGCTGGGGGTGGGTCACCAAGTCAAGGCCCTGCTGGGAAGTGCTGTCTCTCTGTCTCTGTCTAGTATAGGTAGGTAGTGGCTACCATAGTGGAGTCTAGCTCTCTGTGTCTCTTTTCTTGTTTATTGAACAAATAAATTTTTAAAAAGCTACCAACCAGGGCCAGCAAATAGTGTGCTAGTTAAAGCTAGACTCCCACATGGCCATGGTGACCATGGTTTGAGTCATGGTTCTAGTGGCTTATTTTCTCCCTTTCTCTCTCTCTCTCTCATTGGTGAGCACACATGCCCTATAACAAATTAAAAATAGTAACAATAAATGATTCTTCATTAAAAAAAGCTACCAACCTCAGCCCTCTAGAATAGTGCTGTCCAATAACAATAAAACGAAGAGTCATAAGCATTTTTTTAAATGTGGCAACTAGAATATTGAAAAAATTAGAAGGTGGAATTAATTTAAATAACTGTATTTTATTTAACTCAATATAGCCAAAATATACTTTCAACATGCACAGAGGTATTTTAATTCATTTTCATATTAAGTTTTTGAACTAAGTACGACTTTATTATAATTAATTACATTCAATCTGGTATATACTCCACACTTACAGCACATCTTACTTCTGATTAGCTGCACTGGAAGTGCTCAATAGCCACATGTAGCTAGTGGCTACCACAGTGGAGAGTCTACATTTGCCTGAGTTAAATCACTAGACATTTGACAGCTCTATAGGTAGAGTCATCCCTCAGTATTCATGAAGGATTAATTCCCAGACTCACCATGGCTAGCAAAATCTGGATGTTTAATATCCCCTGTATAAAATAATGTCGCGCATAAACTACTGTATTATAACCTATGCACATCCTCTCATATACTTTATCTTTTTAAGTTTATTTATTTCTTCCATGAGAGAGACAAAGAGAGAGAGAGAAGGAAAAAGAGGCAGAGATGGGGGGTCCCCCAGTGGGGTCCTCATTCAGCAATCTACCTCCAGTGTTTGCCAGTCCAGATCATGGCTACCAACATGAGCACCGGGGTACAGAGGGAGTCCTCAGGCCATAAACCTGGGACCTTCCCATATGGGTCCAGCTGTATTACTCCTACACCATCTGGTCCACTTCTTATATACTTTAAATCATTTCTAGATTGCTTTAGTTATCTGAGTGTCAGATATAAGTGAAAAAGAAAAAAAAATCAATATATAAACTTTATTAGCATCTCTCTTTTAGAGAACCACCTTTTCCCCCACTTTATAACAATTGGTGTGGCTTGGTTGTATCCATGTTTGGTTAAATATGCAGATGCAGAACTCAGATACAGAGTCAACAGTATCTGAAAACAGATGTCAAACCTAGGCTAACCGTTCTCAATTATTCCATAAAACATACTTTCAAGTCCCTTCATGACAGAGGCTGGGAATGAGAAGTCAGATTTGGTTATTATATTTAAATATATACAATTAATTTAAATTGAATTAAATACTATCACAACAATTTTCCAAGTTCCTGTCAAAAATGGCCTGTTACAATTACATATAATATTTCTCTCAACTTTTTATTTTCAATCAACAGAAAAGTTGTAAGATTAGGACAATAAACACCTATATTCTGTGATTAATGACTTAGAAGTATACTGTATCTCCTAGGAAGAAAGGATAGTTTCTTATATAACCACATCGTTATTATCATACCCAAGAAATTTAATATAAAAGTAATTCTACCTACTGTACATTCTATAATCTAATTTCTCTAATTATACTAGTAATACCCTTTACAATTAAAAAAATTTTCTTTTGATCTAGGAACCTTGAATCAAGAATCACACGTTGCACTTAGTTGTCATGGCCTTTTAGTCTCCTTTAATCCAAACTGTTTTTCTTTTTGTTTTCCATGAGTCAAGTATTACTTACAATGAAATGTTAGTATTCAAAATACATATTTGGGAGGGCCAGCAGATAATATAGTAGTTATATTGCTGGATTCCCACATAACTGACCATAGTTTCAAGACCCAATGGCTTGAAACTCATGCCAGGCACCTGTGCATTTATGCCAAAGATCCTAAGAAGAGAATGGGAGAAAAGGGATTACAGGGACTGGCAGGTGGCACGGTGGTTGGAGTACTGGCCAACCATGGTTCCAGTCCCAGATCTGGCAGCTTGCTTTCTTGTGTTCCCTTTCTCTCTCTCTGTCTAATAATAATAATAATAATAATAATAATAATAACAAATAAAATTAAATAAATAATTCCTTTAGAAAAAAAAAAGACTGCAGCATGGCCATCACCCCTGGGGGGGTGATTTCTCACTTTCCCTCTGTCTCTGTCTCTCTCTTTCTCTGGCAGGTGCAGGTGCACTACGGCAAAAATCTCTTTAAAAAATATACATATGTATATATGTATGTATATTTGGAATTCTAACTTTATTAGATCTGATAAGTCATTATTGAGTTTTGGTCTTCTAGTTGTCCTAATTTTCCTTCACAAACTATTATGTAGCTCTCTTCATAAAAGCTACTTACAAACTGAGAACAAAATAACATAATGGGGGACCAGCAGTTAGCATAATGGCTATGTGGCTGGACTCCCATGTAGTCGACTGAGGTTCGTGTCCCAGACTCGGTGGCTTAAAACTCACACTGGGTGCGTGTGCATGCGTGCCAAACACCCAGTGGCCTAAACTCACACTGGGCACACAAAAATAAAATAACACAATGGAACACAAAATAATCATCTACTATATATACCCAACTTGCTATTCTCTCCATATTAAATTCACAATATTTTATCCATAGTTAATATAAATTATATAGGGACCAGCAGTTAGCATAATGGCTATGTGGCTGGACTCCCATGTAGTGGACCGCGGTTTGCGTCCCAGACCCGGTGGCGTAAAACTCACACCAGGCGCGTGTGCGTGCTGCCCAAGATCCCAAGAGGAGAATGGAGGAGAAGGGATTGCGGCGTGGCTATTTCCCCTGGGGGGGGGGATTTCTCGCTTTCTGACTCTCTGTCTCTCTCTGTCTTTCTGACAAGTGCATGCACCCTATTAAAGAGAGAGTCTAAAAAATAAAAAATATATAAATTGCATATATACATACACACACGTAGATACATAAATAGATAGAGAGATTTTTTTTTTTTTAAAGAGAGAGATTTTTGCTATAGGGTGCATGCACTTGTCAGAAAGACAGAGAGAGACAGAGAGTCAGAAAGTGAGAAATTACCCCCTATGGGGGATAGCCACACTGCAATACCTTTTCTTCTATTCTCCTTTTGGAATCTCAAGCACACACGCACATGTGCCCAGCGTGAGTTTAGGCCACTGGGTCTGGGACTCGAATCATGATCTACTACGTGGGAGTCTGATATAAACATTGCACCATCTGCTGGTCCCTAAATTATATATTTTAAAAAAATATTTATTTATTTATTTAATTCCATTTGTTATTATTATTTTTTAATTTGACCAGAAAAAGACAAAAAGAGAGAGAAAGGTAAAGTGAGAAAGCAAGCTGCCAGGTCTAGGACTCAAACCGCAGTTGGCCACATGGGAATCCAGTACCTTTAACCACCACCCCACCTGCCAGCCTCGGTCCCTAAATTATATTTTAAAAGAACATTTATACTAATAATTACAATCTGCCAATTTGAATTATTTTAAGCATTCACTAGAACTTTGGACGGTTTCTCTCTTAGCATAAAAACAGTACAACCGAAGTCTTATATTTTACTAAAAGAAGAAAAAATAAGATTACACAATTTAAATAATCATAGGAGTTCAAAAACTCTTAATGAGGGTAATCACTGAAATATCCAAGAATCAAATCTCTAAACATGTTATAACCCGAGATAATAATGCTTTGCCAGTGTAGATACTATACAGGGCTATGCTAATTAGCCATTACGAATGATCTGTTAATGACAAGTATATCCTTCCAGAACAGGGATTTTTTAATTTACAATTTAGAATATTGGAAAGTAGTCTACGAAGATGTATTAGAATGTTAGGTTGGTAAATGATTATAATAAAATGCCAAACTGTCATCATCTTTTTATGATCTAAATCCTTTCTGGAATCACTGAATTGAGGAACTTAATTTGCCATTAATTCTTTACTTTTTTTTTAAGAGTACTATCACCCTTTAATATCTCAGCAATTAATTTTGCCTGTAAGTGGCATTTTCTTCTAACAAAACACCTTTTTCCTTCAAATTAACCCACTCTTTCTTCATGTCAGAAATTCCTTAGATTCAATACTCAATTCTACTTATATCTTACGGAATCTCTATCCTACAAACTCTGGGTTGAGTATATAAATTAAATTTTACTGCTTCCAACTTTACTTGCCTTGGATCATTTTTACTGTCTTCGCCGTTCTTTAACTTCTCAAATTCACAAGCTCCTAGCAGCTCCAGTATCACAGGAATTTCAATGTTGTCATGATTTACATATCATAGCCACATAATTTTAGTAAAAATTACACTTCCTCCTCTGTCTTTCTGCCCTTCAAATAAACCATCTATAAAGCCACCAATAATTTTTGAAAATAAAGAATAACATTATTTTAAAACTGCTAGAAATATCTGGAAAATCCCAGTACAAATATTCTATTAATTAATATTATATACCTTCCGGGTCCAGAAGGTGGCATGGTAGTTAAGGGCGTCAGATTCCTGTATGGTCACTGAGGTTCAAGTCCTGGACCTGGCAGCTTGCTTTCTCACTTTTACTCTCTCTCCTTCTCACTCTGTCTCTCTCTGGTCAAATTTAAATAAATAAATAAAGTTACATAAAATAATTCTTAAAAAAAAAAAAACACACAACTGTATACCTTCCTAACTTGCTGCTATGAAATTTTCAAAATACTCTTCTGAACAGCACTTCCCTCTTATTTCAATTTACCAATTTAAATACTATTTACAGATGTGTGCTATTTATAAGCAAATAGTGCAATAAAAAAAGTTCAGTAGTTCCCAAATTATGAATGAGTTTCTTAAGTTTTGACATATTTTATAGACGTTAGCTCGCATTCTTGATACAAAAATTTGTGTGATAAGTAGTTGTTAGGCTCACCCACCAAAGTATGTTTTAACTGTAATATAGCTGGAATGTTACAACTTGGAATGAATACATTTTTTTCTAATCCTGGTGCATCCAAGGTGGCCAATCATCATGAAATCCTATAACTTTCAAGACACTTATGGGGAAGAACAAAAGGATTTTGATGGGTACAGAAGGTACTGGGTGACTGAAAGAAGGGTCCTTCACAGCATGAAGGAGGTAATGACATACTCCCCATGGTCTACAATGGCAGTCTATCTGTATCTGGATTCTCTAAACACTGGAGCAACAGAGTTCTAAGGTTTTTTTTAATTAAAAAATGTAAAAATGCTTAAAATATAGTGCTTCCCAAAATACAGTGGCACATAAAATACAACATATAATAATCTAATTTGATCTCTTTTGATAGTTGCTTATTCTAAATCCTTTTAATTATCATCTACAAAGTTTCTTGAAACCTTTAAATTAGCTATTCAATAAGATGACACAAAATAATACCCTAGAGAGTAGCTCTCGCTTTTTCTTCCTTTTCTTTTCTTCTTTTCTTTCTTTCATTCTATCTCTCCATTTGCTAGAGAAACAGAGGGAAAGCAACCTACCGGGGGGATGGTCATACCAAATCACTTCTCCATTTTTCCTTTTGGGATTTTGGGCACACATGCACATGGGCTCGGCACATTTCTCAAGCCATTGGGTCCGGGATTCAACCCTGCAGTTGGACATGTGGGATCCAGCCATCTTAACCACCATGCTACCAGCCTGCCCAAGTCATCAGTTATTTCTATTACAATAAAATCAAAGCCAAGTAATATTTTTAAATAATTTTAGAATAATTCATTTGGCTTATAAAATTACACATTCTCAAAGAGAGGAAAAAAATGAGAAGACTAAAGTTTAGGTAGAAAATATGCAAGGTCTCCAACTTGTAGACAATATATAACTCAAATAAGCCAGTACCCTTAAAGAAACATTGAAGTGACATTATTTCCTTTACTTTCAAACTTAAATTCAAAATACTTACTGTACTTGCTCCAGAGATGTGATATATCAAAATCACAAGTTGCATCCAGCCTTTCCATTCATCTGTTTGTTCTCTATTTAATACTTTAGTCTGTGTAAAGGAACCAAAATCTGTTTTAAAATTCATCATGAAGTAATTATTTAGACAGTATATATTAAGTATATTAAATTTTTCTTACAAGGTAAAAAGCTAAAGCTTCTGTCAAAAGAAACTTGGTGGTGGTAATTGGTAGGTTCAGTTAAAAACTGTTATTTTGTTTCTTGCTAAGAGATATAATAAAACTATTTTAAATATAATATGAATCTAAAAAAACAAATATAAACTAAGAGATTTCTGAATATTTAAGTTGATCTTGACGGGTTTATTTTTAAATGACATTTTAAACTGTGACAGATGCATTTATGAATCTAAAAAAGGCATTCCACAATTTTCTTTAATGAAATCTTAGAATTTCATGGTTAAAAAAAAAGATGTGAAGTTCCCCAACACTTGTCAGAAAGCTCTATTATTAAAGTTTATTTTCCCTAGGATGTTCTTTTTTTAAAAGAATTATTTTATTAAACTTTATTTCTTTATTTTAATTTTACCAGAGAGGAACAGAGTGAGAGAGAGGGAAAGCGAGAATGTAAGCCACCAAGTCCAGGACTCGAATCATGGTTGGCCATGTAAGAACTCCAGCGCTCATAACCAACAGGCTACCTGCCTTCCCGTCCCTAGGATATTCTTACTGTAGATCAAGAACTGATTAATCATCTTCATATGAGAGTTATTTTTTACAAAATTATTTATTAATTCAAAGAAATCATGCCTTATAAAGAAATTACACAAAGATTCTGAACAATGACAGCAATTCTAAAATAGGAAATTCAGAATACTGTAAGTTGCTATGTCATTATACAAGTTCTAATTTGTGTATAAATATGTCTCATTGATAAATATATAAATGTAAACTGTGATATAGACATTGGTTAGTATGGGGGTTTTTTGGCTTATAAAAGATAATAGTATCTTGTACTTGAAGACCATTGTCAAATCAGAAATACCTTCCACTTTTTCTATCCTTAAGCAGGCAAAATAGCACTAAGTCATGATATTTTTTCCACAGGTCATATTTTTCAACATTCCAGCCATTTCCAATGACTCTTTGAACTTCCTCCAAACTGTTCCAAAAAGCAATCATGAGAAGTATAACTACAATATTCCTTTATCCTTTTCCACATACATGCTGTTTATATACTCTAGTATGATAAGCAAAATTATTTCTTTAATCCAGGTATAAGATAAAGATAACATGAGCTAAAACAAAGACTCTTACCTCTTTAGTATTTTCATTGTAAAATACTCCCAAAACCAAAATGTAGATAATTGGAATAAAGAAGGATGAATGTGTATAAAATTTATTTTCCTTCATAAACAAATTTGCGCGGTCACACATATAGAAATACGCCATGATCAGGCCAAGTTTGCAGAAAGACTGTAGAAGTATTTCCAGTGGAGACACAGGGGTGCTGATGATATTTTTCTTTTCCTCTCCACTTTCCAAATCAGTACATGGCTTATTCTTCCGATGTGCGTTACAATGAATTATGTAAAAAATTAAATATCCGACAATAGACAAGGTGAAAAAACAAGCAGCCAGCTTCTGTATGAGGGTAAGAGGAGGCCGAGGTTGACAACAGGAACCATCTACAGGCTTCAAAATCTTATTGCAACACACGTTCATGAGAATCATTGCACTCTGTGAACAAATCAAGTTATTTGGTTATTATCTTGTCAGTGATGTATTTCACATTAGATTTTCTCCTGTGAATACTGCTGAGTTTTCAGCACTGAAACCAAAATGCTTTTCTACATTTTGGTACTGTTTCCCAAACACTCATGCAAGTAATAGTATTCCTCCCATCTGTAATAGCTAGTTCAGGTGTTTCAAACTTCTAGGGTTGTGATCCATAATAAAAAACTCATTTTATAATGTCATCCAGGACATATTTATAGGAAACAATACCTATCTTTACTACTTCGAATGTACTGTAATATTGTTCTATTTTATTCTCAAAAAATAAATAAATAAAGATTTCATGGCTATTAACATGACTTTCAGTTAAACAAATACTGACAAATATAAAGGACCAAAGAATTTTAATTAGCAGACTTTCAAAACAAAGGATTCCAGAATAGAGCCTCAGTCTTTAGATGTGGGGGAAAAAAAGTAAAATAAATGACAACCAAAAAAAAGGTTAATTCTTAGCAAACCATTTTTTTTTTTTTTTCAGTTTTTGCTTATAGGGTGCATATGCTCACCAGAGAGTTAGAGATAGAGAGAAAGAAAAAGTGGGAATCACCCCCAGGAGGATTGGTCACTCCACAATCCCTTCTCCTGTGTTCTCTCAGGATTTTGGGCACGCACACATATGACAGTTTTCTAAGCTGCCAGGTCTGGGAACTCACACCATGCACTTGTCCAGTGGGATCCAGACACCTTAACCTCTGGGACACCTGGCTGGCCCAGCAAAGAATATTTTTAGTATGTCTTTCATTTTATTTACAACCTATAGACCATTTAGGATTCTACAGTTTTAAATTTTCTAATGTCCAATAAAATATGGAATGTCTAACATGGTTTGATTTAAACAAAATTATTCTAGGCAAGTTGTCAAGATTCTGTCTCGTTGATGTTCAGTCCAAGTCTAGTTTTATAAAAACTTTATATAGCTAGCCCTGTAGCATAGAGGTTAAGCACTGTGCTTTGCGAGATAGATCCCAAATGGCTGACCATGGTTCAAATCTTGCCCCTGGTACCCTGAAAATCATATGTGTACATGTCCAAAATCTTGAAAGCATGGAGAAATGGAGGAAAAAATGATTGTGGCATGACCATGCCCTATTGAAGGTGTTTTTTCTCTCTCTCTGTCTCTCTGTCTCTCTCCCTCCCTCCCTCCCTCCCTCCTCCCCTCTCCCTCCCTCTCCCTCTAGCAAGTATACCTACCCTCTGGCAAATAAATAAACTGAAGCTATAGTTTAGTTATCTGTGGAATTCTAGATTATTACATTTAAGCCTGAGTATCAATATACTCAAATATTTAAAAAATGTCATCCTTCCTGCCTGGAGACTTCAAGAGGTTGTGACAACTGGCACTCTTCAGAATAATAAACTACAAATTCCATGGAAAGGTTCTTAACCAGCTTCCCAGGGGTCCACTAAGCCCCTTACAGTATACAGAGAATTACGTGTGTATGCAAACATCGACTTTTCTACAGGTGAGAAATGGAACCACTGCTTTTCATCAACCACTCAAAGGGTATATATTAGGAACTATTGCTTTATAAGGGGAAAAAAAAACTCTAATAATCTGAATAATCTCTTCTATTATGCATGGAAATTTGTAACTATGCAGTTATCTTTCATACTTAAGCTAAATCCCCTTCCTTCAGTCAATCTGGATTTGTTCACTATCTATTCTAGACCTTGCATAATGCATAGGGTATAAAAAGGATAAGGAAGTAAAACTTGTTTTATGTACTAAAAAAGGAGTTCTTCTCTGAAGCTTAATCTTGTAAGTTTAAGGCAAAAACATCCGGCAATATTTTAAACCTGTGTGTATTCATAACTTATAAGGTTTTTAAGAGACAAGGTATATTAAGAGTGAGTAAGAGAAGTTTCCCCTCCCTTCCACAACTTCCTTCTCAGTGTATACAAAAACTCTCACTTCTTATATGTGCAGCTAGATTATAGCAAAATTATTTCAAGATATATAGGTCTATATATATGTACACATTGTACATGTATATTTTTTCTTTTTAAAGAATTTATTTATTTCTTTCATTGTAAGTGACAGAGAAAGAGAGAAAAAGACAGAGACACAGCATCTCCAACAACATCCTGATGCCGTAATCTATTCAGCCTCAGCTAAGTTCATATCATGGGCAAAGCCCATGCCTGATGTTTATATTCAGGGAGGTCTCTGGACATGAACTGGAACCTTCCCAGGTAGGTCAGCCTTGCAGAGTGCTACATTTTACCACTGTGCCATCTTCCAGCCCCTCTGTGTGCATCTTTAGATAGTTTAACTTACAAGTAATTAAGATTGCAATAAAGTAAATTATTTATAATCATGTTAGTGACTATGGCTATAACCAATTGGTGTTATAATTTGTATCTACAGATAAATATAAGAATTCTTACAGTTTCTCTGCTTGACTCAGGAAGATGTAAGCCATCCAAAGATTCCATGATGGTTTCTTGAGCAATTAGTTTGGAAACGCTGAACATCTTTACATTTGATTTAGAATTTCTGGTACTACTATTCAAAATACTGACTGCAGCTTCATTGTAGGCATCTATCTTCTCATTGGTAATCATTTTCCTATTTTCACTTAATAGATCTTCATAAACAGGGTCTGCATGTAAACACATTTTTAAAAACACATTTTAAAAATCCCTATTTGTAGAAATGATAAAAATGTGAGTTAACTGATACGTATTTCATATTTTGTTCTTAAAGTCCAGAGGATACCAACCAAGAATATAGTAATTTATTTTTCTGTAAAAACAGGCCAAGGTTTGCAATTCCTATTTTATATTAAATTTTTGACTCAATCAAAATCTCTCAAAAATTTAAAGACCTTCTCTATGTATACAGCTTTAGGGAAAATTACATTCTAGCATAGTTTATGAATTTAAAATTTTTAGATGCTGCATTATATTGGGTAACAAAAAATTAGAACTGGATTATGGAGAACTTAATTGTTTTTATAAGAAGAGATTTTTGCTATAGGGCCTGTGCATTTATTGGAGAGATAGAGAGAGACAAAGAGACAGAAAGAGAGAAATCACCACCCAGGGGGAATGGACATGCTGCAATTCCTTCTCCATTCTCCTCTTGGGATTTTGGGCATGCATACACACATGCCTGGAGTGAATTTTAAGCCGCTGGGTCTGGGACTTGAACTGTGGTTAACTACGTGGGAGTCTAGCAACGTAACCATTATGCCAACTGCTGGTCTCAAGGATTGCTTAATTAAGAACAGTAATTAAACCTTTTTTCTTCTTCTGTGGCTACTTAAGTTTGCAAACTTTGTTTATACAATTAGGAGGTAATATTACAGAGGAACAAAGTCTATTCTCTTAGCTCTTATTATAAATAATTTTTTTTCATTTTAATAAGAGAGAAGTTAAAAGTGAATCTGTGAATGAAATAAGGACTGCAGAATAGATTATCACTACAAGTTATTCTTCCTTTTACGCTGACAGTCCACTTGGAAATAACTATGAGAGTTTCTGACAAACGACTTGAACTGCTGAAATATCCAAGGCATTTCATATTGTGAAAGGCATTAAATAACAGACACTCAATAAATTCCAGAAATGAGTTGACTTAATGTCTACTTTCTTTTAAATAATATCATTACCAAGTGTGAACTAGATAGTGTGATTTACATATATCTTATCAATTCAGAAGTATATTTATTTCCAATGATTTGAATTTTATGAAATACTTATTAGTATTTTTTCTCTGTATTTCTCAATTACAATGAAAATACTTTATAAAAAAAATCAGAGTTAAATATTTCATTTGCCTTTAGGATTTATCTCTTTGTTATATTCTATAGCCACTCTGCCTGTTGAGGTATTCATTATTCTATTCCTTAAATTTAAAAAAGGAAAGCAAATAACTCAAGCTTATTCTAATCTTGCAAATCTTATTTCAAAATTTATTCTCATAAAGTTGTAATTTTGCTTCTTGAAACAGAAGGTAATAAAAACCTATGCCTCAAAATATATACAAAGTGACATGTTTTTATTACTCATTTCTTACCTTGTAAAACCCAATAAACATCACTAGTCTTGGCCAGTTTTTCTAAGAGTGGTGCTATGGAGGTAATGTTCATTTTATACTGAGAAAGTGCTTCATTACTACCATTGTGAATCTTGATGGACCACTAAGAAATAAAAAATCAAGCATTAATTCAGAATTTTTCACAGAAAATGTAAAGAACATCATTTACATACTATAAAAAATGATTATTTTAAGATGATTCCCATTTTTACTCAATATTAGAATGAAACCTGATCAAATAATTTCATAAAATATAGGAAGGCAGCTATAAAAAGTTATTATAAAATTCAATGTATAACATTCAAGAAGAGGGCCAGCCAGTGGTATAGTGGTTAGGGCAGCTGGACTCCACATGGCAGACAGTGTGGTTTGTGTGCCAGACCCAGTGGCTCGAAAAACTTGCCAAAATCCCAAAAGGAGAATGGAAAAGAGATTGCAGTATGGCCCTCTCCCTAGAGGGTACTTTCTCACTTTCATTCTCTCTCTCTCTCTCTTTCTCTCTCTGTTTCTCTCCAGCAAGTACGCTGGCCTTATAGAAAATTCAAAAAAGGAAAAAAATTAAAAATGGAAATAATCTTAGATATAAAATAATACTGATATTTAACACCAAATTTTCCAAGCTTATTCAGTTCTTTTTGTTGAAATCTATCAGTCTGGGGACCAGCAGTTGGCATAATGGTTATGTCACTGGATTCCCTTATAGTTGACCACAGTTCAAATCCCGGACCCGGTGGCTTAAACTCATGCCAGGCATGTGTGCGTCAGTGCCCAAGGGAAGAGAAGGGATTGAAGTGTGGCCATCCCCCCTGGGGAGTAATTTCTCGCTTTCTATCTCTCTGTCTCTTTGTCTTTCTGGCGAGTGCACATGCCCCATAGCAAAAAATCTCTCCAAAAAAAATAGTATCAGTCTGACTTAATATAATGAAACCAGAATTAAAATAATGTACAGTCAAGAATTCTATTTAACATAAGTTAACTTTTTCTTAGCATGTGCTTAAGTATGAAACAAAAATTAGTAAGGAAAAAACACAGATAATAACTTACTGTGGCAGCTCCTGCTACAATCACGTGGGGCTTTGCAACAGAATCCTAATGGAAGAAAAATCTTTATAATAGTGTTATATTCAGTTCAGGGAATTAATACAAGTAACATCATTTAATATTTTTTTCCTTAAAACTTAAGTTCTTCTGTCTAAACGTAGTTTACGTTCCTCGAATTACTTATAGGATGCTTGTTATAATAAGGTAGACATTCGGTGCCTAAAACCTCACATGGTTACTTGGTTATACAGGATGGCATAACACTTGTATGGTTAATTCTTTGGTGTTCTTAAACAAACAGGAAACATTACTGAAATCTAATATGCTCAGTATTATTCTGTCCTGTGAGTAAACTACTTAGAATTAAGCTCTAATGTACTGCATCAATTCAAAGGCATTCGTGGAAGCCTACAAGGTATACAGTATACTTTGAACGAACCCGTTTCCTTTTAGAGAAATGCTCATTTCCAGTGAAGTGTGCCTCATTTTACAAGTTAGAAAAATTTGTAGTGACTTTTTATTAAATTTTTCCTCATTTCTAGATGGCTCCCATTCTCGTTCTTCAAAATGATTAACCCAAATCTTATATATCCTTTATACAGGTCCCTGTTGCCCTACTTCTCCTCAACATAAAGTCTAATTTTCAAACCTCATAGAGAAAACAAAATTCATATAATGTGGGCTCTAGTCTTCCTTCTTCCATTCCTACAGCTTTATCCATATATTCACCCAGACTATCTTCCTCTGACAAGAGAGTAAAGAAAATGTACTCATATTGCTCTCAGAGGCTAACCCTTACTTTGTGTTTTAGATTCCTTCTCTTCATTTTTGGAGCTGTGACTCACAAATTATCTTTTCCAACTTTCACAGTATCGATCTTATCCTTCTCTTACACTCTTTTCACTCAGTTAAAAAAGTATTAAATCATCTTTATCTTCAAAAAATTTTCCTTCAACCCTGTCTCATTCTCAGATTCTTTCCCCTTGTACTCTTAACCAACAAATTATTACTTAAAACAACATTCTGTCCTCACTATGTCAAGGTCTTTTCCTCTTATGAATGCCATAATTTACTACACTTCGAATATAGGTTTCATCATCTATTAAAACTGCCCCACAAGCCTACTAATGAACTCTGAATTGCCAAGTCCTGTAACTTCATTCTATCTTATCTACTGATAGTTTCTGAAGTGACACTACCATTTGCTTTTGAATTTCCCCCCCTATATCTTTCTTTTCTTTCTACCACTTTGGCTGCAGTTTCTCAGAATCTTTTTGATTATTCCATTACCCCCAATAACTCTGCAATCTCTAAATTCTCTGCCTATCCAATTTCTTCTAAATAATTTCAAATATCACCTCAACTGATATGAAGACTCCCCAAATCTACCTAAGCAGCTCAAATTTCTTAATGACTCCTATTCACCTACAGAACTATATGTAAGTTGACAATTTCTTTACCATTTAAACTAATTTTCTGCTACTCCATTATATTTTATCATTCTCCTGTTTAAAACCTTTAAGGGCTCTCTACTACCCTCAGAATTAATTCTATGTCCTTATTTTTAAGAGATACAGTCTCGTGCATTTAGAATTAAAAAAAAAGAATAGTTAGGTATATAAAATAAATATACCCCCCTAAATATGGCTTAGGATATCATACTTAATCTAATATCTACTTACCTTGTCTCTTATCAACTCCCCCCAAAATGAGACATATGAAAAGAACAACCAAATCCAGAACATGAATAAGAAAGCCCTTTATATTTTAGTTCCAGCCACAGTAAAAATGCTGGTGATTCCCTGGGTGGGCTGAAGAAAAAGCTATCATCAGCATTGTTGCACATGCAATTTCTTTTGTGTGGAATAAACCCACCTCTTACTCCATGCCCTTATCTTTAAGATCACTTTATCTGAAAACTATTTTTGAAAACTTTAAAAATTACACTTAGTACCTGTCCTCTGTAATACTGTTATAACCTACACTCCCTTATTTTAGCACTTGTCACACTGCTTCCTTAATTACCTGTATATGCTACTCATCTGAAAGCTCTTTGAGAGGAAGAACTCTAGCATGTTAATCAATGTGTCAGCAGTATCTAGCTGAGTGCCTAGAATGTGGCAGGTGATTTATAAATATCTGTTAAGTAATAATCTAGAGTTGTCTCAATTCAACTTTGCCTTTATCCCTGTAGAATTCTGTAAGGCTATTCCAGTTAATGAGTTTATCTTTCTAGCCCTTAGTTCTTCTGGAAATATCTCCTCCATAAAACCTTCTTAGATCATCATTTATACTCCCCTCACATCCTAAGTGCCTCCATGGTGTATCACTGTCCTTTGTGTTCAGGGTTTGTGTTAGCTTTCTACTCGCCACATTATTATTCATCAATAAGTTACTAATCTCTTAGATTGCAAATTCTTTAAGGGCTGATATGGGCTAATTCCCAGCAACATTTCTAATTCTCAGCATGAAAGTAGCAACAATACATAATAATAACAAACACGCTGATCTTTGCATTCATAGGATCTAGAATTTTACTACAGAAATAATCATAAAAAAACCTACAAGCATACACCTATGCATACTCTACAAGTGAATGAAACCATCAACTAAACACTCATAAGTGAGTATACGGCCAACTACTTAAATAAGTTGACTCTTTTCCCCAATGATCATTGTTTTACAACAGAATCCAAAGCCCCCAAAATTAGCTTAAGCAAATTATGAGAATGAAGAATTTTGATATATAATGTGTCTTGTCATTAGTAAATAACTTAAAGGTTTTCTGTTATCTTACAAGACTTATACTGTATTAATGATTAACTGTGGATTTCTACTACTTTAATGGAGATATGTTCAGGTCCAGCTTAAATAGAAAACATATGTCTACATCATTATTCCACATTCTGGACTTTTTTTTTTTTTTTGGAGAGGTTTTTGCTATAGGGCATGTGTGCTCGCCAGAAAGACAGAGAGAGACAGAGAGATAGAAAGCAAGAAATTACCCCCCAGGGGGGATGGCAACGCGGCAATACCCTCTCTTCCATTCTCCTCTCGGGATCTTGGGCACGCACACACGCGCCTGGCGTGAGTTTAAGCTAACGGGTCTGAGACTCGAACCGCGGTCAACTACGGGAGAGTCCAGAGACGTAGCCATTATGCTAATTGCTGGTCCCCACACTTCTGGACATTTTAAAACATGTCAATTTAAAATAAAACACAGGAAGTGCACCTTGCAATTTGTGAGAAATCTGAACTCTAGAATTTGTCTACATGTTTATTACTCTTTTAAAACTTTAACACATTTTCTCAATGAAATAAAGTTAGAAACGGCAGCTATATTTCCACCGGATCCTACAAAAGCCTATTTATTGTATGATATGGTTACAGTACTAAACATTTACTGTGGAAAAAAGAAATAAAAAAAAAAGATAAAGTTACAGAACATAAAATTAAGCTAAACAAGGCCAAAAAATTTATTTATCCATCACAAATGCAAATGCCTCTGGGAAAGAATACAGGTTTAATCAAAGGTCTGACATGTGGCTACATATACAATGTAGACATTATAAACTGAACTTGTGAGAATGCAGGTGTTTTCTCTACGGTTAATAGCATGGTGGACCTTCTATCTAATTTATCTCCAAATATTAAGGGCTAAAACATGAGTCATGTCTGCTGGATCACAAATGTAATGATAAAAGTGAAGAAAGGCTATAAAAACAAAATGTTTCCTGAAGTACCTGGGCATGAGTTTGGAGGAAAAAGAGAAAAAATGCTCAAGAGAATGTGTATAGTGCTGGGAGGAGTTATCTGGCTTTGAATTAGCTGAGCTACAGCAGTAACGGAATTTTAAATTGGGCAGTTCTAGTGTAAGCATAGTCTGGTGATAGCATAGAAGAGAAAGTGTTGACCCACTTTCTCTTCTACTAAGAAGAAAGTGCTAGAATCAGTCCGGCACAGTTAGCTGCTCTCAAGAAAGTGGGTATATAGTACAGGAAAGTGAGACAGGTAAGTAAAGGAAAGAAAAAATGATGAATGGCCCTGGGCTGTGTAAACTTAGTTGCTCAAAGAAAGGTCTTTATTTTTCAAATACAGACCTCAGTCCATACTTTGATACACTGTTTCATAGAACCATTAACTTCTGGATGCCATAGAAAATCCTAAAAGAGAAATAATAGAAATAAGTCAAAGAAACTCTATTTCCACCACCCAAAATAAACATTAACATTTTCTTACAGAATACAGTCATCCCTTGGTATCTGCAGGGGATTGGTTCCAGGATCCCCCGTGGATAACAAAATCAGTGGAGGCCAATTCCCTTGCATAAAATTGCACAGAATTGTATATAACCTCTGTACATCTTCCCATAAACTTTAAATCATCTCTACATTAGTTATAATACCTAATGCAATATAAATGCCATACAAAAGTTGTTATACTATATTATTTAGGAAATAATGACCCAAAAAGTCTATGTTCAGTACAGAAGCAACTTAAAAATATATATATATTTTTTTGGACCAGCAGTTAGCCTAATGGCTGTGTCACTGAACTCCCATGTAGTAGATCGTGGTTCAAGTCCCAGACCCAGTGGCTTAAACTCACACCAGGCGTGTGTGCATTCATGCCTAAGATCCTGAGAGGAGAAGGAAGGAGAAGGGACTGCAGTATTGCCATCCCCCCGGGGGGATGATTTCTCGCTTTCTGTCTCTCTGTCTTTCTGGCGAGCGCACATGCTATATAGCAAAAACCTCTAAAAAGGTGGCTGTTCCACAGCTGGCTGAATCTCTATATGCAAAACCTCTAAGTGAGGAGAGTTGATTGTACTTAGAAGTCAAACACCACCTTGCCTAAGATATCATCTCCGGGGACCAGCAGATGGAGTAATGATTACGTTGCTGGACTCCCACTTGGTTGCCCACAGTTCAAGTCTCGGATTGAGTGATTTGAAATTTACTCCAAGTGCGTATATGTGCATGCCCAAAATCTCAAGAGAAGGGACTGTGGTGTAGCTAACCCTTAGGGGGATGATTTCTAACTTTCTGTCTGTCTCTCCAGTGAGTGCAAGTGCCCTATAGCAAAAATCTCTGTGTAAAAAATAAATACATAAATAAAATAATCTCTCATCTTAATTTGATAAAAATCTCACAATAGTTCTCCTTGTATCCACTTTTGCCTTTCTCTAGTCTATACTCAACATTTTAGCCAGAATAGTCTTTTAAATATTTAAATCTGATCTTGCAACATGTCAGTTCAAATATTCTGAAACTTTCCAGTGTTCTCAGAATAAATCCAAAGTTCTTAAAACTGTCTTTTCACCTGCTCTCTAACTATTTCTTTGTTTCTCACTCAGTTCCTGGAATGTTCTATTTGGTCTTTTTTCTGCATATACTGTTCCTTCTGTCCCTAATGCTTATGAATTATTCCACTGAGCCTGACTAACTCCTACTTGTCCTTGAGCCAAATCAACCCAATCACCTTTTCCAAGGAGGAAAACTCTCAATTTCTTGCTCTGTACATTTCTAATACACTTCTTTTTCTTTTCTGCCATTTTTATTCTATTTATATTTGCACACAGGTAACTGTAATGACCTTCAAGGTCCATTAGGTCATGGACATTAATTTTCACTGTATGTGGGAATTGAGAAAATTCACATATATTCTTTTAGGGACATTAATCCTCAACACATACTGGTTTCAAATAATTTTTTTCCTGGATAAAAATTTGAAACATCGGGGCTGGCAGGTGGCATAGCGGTTAAAGGCGCTGGATTCCCACGTGGCTGACCATGGTCCCAGTGCTGGACCTGGCAGCTTGCTTTCTTGCTTTCTCTTTCTCTCTTTTACTCTCTGGTCAAATTAAAAAAAATTATAATAACAAATGAAATTAAATACGTAATTTTTTTCTTTAAAAAAACAGAAACATCAAATTTTCCATTACATAAAGTAACTCACATAAACATTTATTCCATTCATATACTATTCTTATCTAATTAAGAACTAAATTATATTATGAGCAAAGCATTAGTTGATCTTAAAATAAATTAACCAACGAATACAGTTTCAAGATTATAACATTTAGCTTATTCTTACATGAACTTACCACTTTTACTGACGCAGTCTCATCTTCAAAAGGAATGTTTTCATGCTGCCATAAAAAGGATACAACAGAGAAACATTAATGTATAGATGAAATTTACATAATTAATTCCCTTATAGCTACTTTTTCTGATTTATTTTTATATACCAAATATCAATAATCTAACCCTAAGAGAAAGAAAAAGAAAAACTATACAGAAAACCAAAAAAATAAGTGACACTAATTAAATTGTTGATCTGTGATTTTCAACATCTAAGTTGTAGTTCAAAGATAAAATCTCAACTCCAAACAAGCAAATACATGAACATGCCTATATAAATGATCTAACTCACAAGATGGCCAAGACTCCAGTTTAGTCCCTACAATATTTTCTATGGCAGAAACAAATGTTTCCCTTCATTTCCTGAGTCCCTTACAGCTCACAGGGCCAAATGACTAGTCTAGCCAAAGTAATATGGCTAGATGAGACATCAGTCATTTCCAGGAGTAATTTCTCAGGACAATTCTCTATTCTCTACCTTAACATGACGCAGAGACCTGGAGAGGCTGAAAGTTCCAAAGTACATTTGAAGATAGGAACAATTTCAATAGCAGGAACTTCTGAATGACTGTGTGGATGAAAGTCTCTTGTCAACCAATCTAGTACATGCAGCACTAAGTGAGAAATTCTGGGAAGGTGGATGTGGTAGCCTTTCTCAGGCTCTCTCTCTCTGGAATCGAAACCTAATTCCCCGTCACCTGTGGTCACCATGGTAGGTATGGCAACTACCATCCAAAGTCGAAAGGGTGGACTTTCGAAAGGGTCATTGCCACCACAGGGGCGTGCAACCTGCTGGCCTGGGGTTATCTAGAGTCAGCAAAGTCCCTGGTGCTCCCTCACCTCACCCAGGGCTGACCAGGATTGGCTTCAGAGTCTGTGGTGGGGTTGGGGGAAGACAACACTGCACTTTCCCAACCCTGCTCTGGCTTGTGCTCTTCCTTCATCCACCACCCTGTGCCCCAAAGAGATTATTTTAAAAATATATGTACTTCAGAGTGGCAGGATGCAAAATCAACATCCAAAAATCTATAGCATTTCTATATACGAACAAGCTGACTGAGGTAGAACTGCAGAAGGAATCCCTTTTACGATAGCCACAAAATATATAATATACCTAGGGATAAATTTAACCAAAGAACTCAAAAGACCTTTACAAGGAAAACTATGAAAATCTTAAAAAAGATATTGACAAAGACACAAAAAAGTGGAAAGACATCCCATGTTCCTGGATTGAAAGACTTAAATATAATCAAAGTGGCAATTCTACCCAAATTAATCTACATATGTAACAATTCCAATCAAATTACCAGAGACATTCTTCATAGATCTAGAAAAGACAATCATGGGATTTGTCTGGAATCATTAAAGACCACGTATTGTCAAAGCAATCCTGCACAAGAAGAGTAGAGTGGGTGGTATCTCACTCCCTGACCTGAAAATATACTATAAAAGTTGTAATAATCAAAACATATGGTATTGGCACACACACACAAAAAGGGACAGGTTGACCAAAGGAATAGCATAGAAACCCCAGAAATAAACCCCAAAACCTATAGCCAAATGATTTTTGACAAAGGATACCAGTCAATCCAGTGGGAAAAGGAAATGGTGCTCTTTAGCAAACAGTGCTAGAAAAACTGGGTATCCACCTGCAGAAAGATGAAACTGTATCCCCTTATTTCACCACTAACAAAAATCAACTCAAAAAGGATCAAAAATCTGAACTTAAGATATTAAACTATAAAACTACTGGAGGGAAAACTCTAGGAAACACTGGGGTAGGCAAAGACTTCTTAAATAAGACTTGCAAAGCACAGGCAATAATCCCCAAAATAGACAAGTGGGATTACATCAGATTAAAAACTTTCTGCACAGCAAAGAACACAGTAATTAGGGTCAATCGACAAACCTCAGAATAGCAGAGTATTTTTGTAAAATATGCCTCAGATGAGGGACTGACAACCAGACTACACAGGAACCTCAAGCAATTTACCCAAAAATAAATAATTAACCCAATTGAAAGATGGGAAAATGAGCTTAACCAAAACACTCTCTAAGGAAGACATACAAAGAGTCAAAAAGCGTATAAGAAAATGCTCAACATCTCTCATCATAAGGGAGATGCAAAATAAAACCACAATGAGATACCACGTAACCCCTGTAAGAATGGCAAAGATTAAAAATACACAAAATGGTAATGCTGGTGGGGTTGTGGTGCAAGGGGAACTCTCCTATAGTGTTGGTGGTAATGTAAATTGGTCCAGCCACTGTGGAAAACAATATGGAAGTTCCTATAAGACCTACAAGTAGAACTACCATATGATCCAGCAATTCCACTCTTGGCTATCTACCCAAAGGACAGGAGAATGCTCAGTTGGAAAAGCACTTGCACATCAATGTTTATTGCACTGTTGCTAAGACACGGAATCGACCCGAACGTCCATGAACAGATGAATGGATTGAAAAGTATGGCACATATACTCTATGGAATACTCTTCAGCCATAAAAGATAATAAGACCCTGACATTTGATAGAAAGTGGTCGAATATGGAAGATCTACTGTTGAGTGAAGCAAGCCTGGCCATAAAAGAGAGACACTGCATGTCTCCACTTAATATATACCGACTCCCTACACTCTATGATAGAGATTGAAAGACTGGAGAACATAAAAGCAGTGAAAATAGTTACAGATACTGGAGACAGTGGAAGGAGAGGGAAAAAGGGGAAGAGTATAGGGAAGGAAATCAGGGAGAAAAAAGAGAGGCAATACATATGTGGGGCACAGAAATGGTTTATTTCCTGTTGATGATAACATGTATAGTATTTTAAACTGGACTGGTCTGAGGTGTATTTCATGTTAGGTGAATTCTCTTTACAAGCCAAATGATGTACAATGATCGAATGTTTAAAATAATAATAAAATGAAATAAAAAATTAAAAGATATATGTACTTCATTGGAATAATAAACATGATGTAAGGGTAGGAATAAGGAGTGGGCAATAAAAAGCTAATTTCGTTCCTAAAATCGAGGTTGAAATATTTTAACTAGGAGATAATTATATTTAACTTTTTATGAAATAAAGTTTGCTTTCATCAACAAGCTAACATTTTAGATTCTGGTTGGTCTTTCTAGGGCATCATTTCTTTTTTTTTTTTTTTTCCTTTTTGTTTTTGCTATACGGCGAGTGTGCTCGCCAGACAGACAGAGAGAGACAGAGAGACAGAAAGCGAGAAATCACCCCCCGGGGCGGAGGGCCATGCTGCAATCCCTTCTCCTCTATTCTCCTCTCGGGATTTTGGGCATGCACGCGCACGCGCCTGGTGTGAGTTAAGCCACCGGGTCTGGGACTTGAACCGCGGTGGACTACGTGGGAGTCCAGTGACATAGCCATTACGCTAACTGCTAGTCCCTAGGGCATCATTTCTTGAAAGGAATCTTAGGAACATTAATTTCACATACTTTAAGGCATGTCATATAAAAAGCTTCCTTGATATCAGGCTGGCAGCTGGTATGGTGGCTAAGTGTGCTAGACACCCACATGGCTGACTAGTTCGAGTCCCAGACCTGGCAACTTGCTTTCTCACTTTCTCTCTCTCTCTTTCACTCTGTCCCTCTCTGGTCAAATTTAAATGAATAAGTGGATAATAAAGTTCAACAAAAGACATAGATATAAAAGTTAAAAAGCACAGTTTAAAAAATCCAAGAAACTCATGAATTCATGACACAAATTAGAGCATTACCAACAATATAAAACTATGTGGCCCCCTCACTATCTTAAATCCCTACTTCTTCTGAAGGAAACCACTATCTTGAAATTTATGTTATACATTGTGTACGTGTGTGTGTGTGTGTGTGTGTGTGTGTGTGGTGCTTAAAGCAGGTCTTGCTGTGTCATGATCCAATCTGCCTGTCTTAGCCTCCTGAGTAGCTAGAACCACAAGCATCTCTCACTGTGCCTGGCTTTTTAGGATGGACCACAGGATGCCCAAGTTGTTTTTGTGTCTGTTTTTTATTATTATATAGCTTTTAATCAGTACTAGAAGTCTTCAAAAAGTTTATGAGAATTAGATATTATAAAAAACTATGCATGAGTTAAAAAAAATATTTTTGCACCAAAATAAACCAGTATTTTCAATCCATTTTTTCAGAAACTTTTTGAAATCCCCATAAGACAGCATCCTTGAACAATATCTTATTTAGCTTTCTATTTAGCTTTTAATTTTGAAATTTCAAACTTAACAACACATTTGACAGAATTAAATGAACATTCCAAATTCTTTACAAATTGTTAACATTTTCTATACCAGTTCCCTCTCGTTTCTTCTCTCTGCATACAGTTTTTCTCTTTTGCTAAACCATAGGAAAGTTAACTGTAGATGTCATAACATTTCATCCTTTTACACTTAAGCATGTATCACTGAAGAACATGAACATTCTCCTATATAACCACTATACTAAAATCCCACCCAAGAAATCTGACATTGATATTATCTAGTATAGTCTCTCTCTCTCTCTCCCACTCTTTCTTCTTCTTCTTCTCTCTCTCTCTATAAATATATATGTGTGTGTGTGTGTGTATATGTGTATGTGTATATATATGTGTGTGTGTGTATATATATATATGTATGTATTTTACTTCTACTACATTTATAGATTCTTTGGGATTTTCTATGCAGAGAATTGTTATCATATGGATTCCTGAGTCTATTTCTTTTTGATTCTTACATCTTTATCTTTCTTCAGCTAGAATTCTTAGTACAATGCTGAATGGAAAAAGCAAAAATGAACATCCTTATTTCCTGATTTTAATGGAAATGTGTCTAAAAATTCACCATTAAGAATTTTACTGTAGGTTTTTAGAATTTTTACCAGGCTAAGTTTGAATATTATAAAAATCTCTCTCCTAAAAGAAAGAGAATGATACTAATTATCTGACATTGTTGGGACTAGCTTACTGACATGACATGAGGTTAAAAAAAATATTCTCAGATTTTAAAGCCAACAAGAGGGTACTAGAACCCCAGTCTCCCCATTTAGAATCCACACTCCTCTGTACAGTACCTAACTAGGCCACCTCCCAATTTGGAACTTTTCATATACTGCTTTTCTCCCCTTGCCATTCCCCACTCCCAAGCATATGCTGTTGGAATTAGAATTAGAACCCTGAGTCATTTAAAAATATACAGAGGGATCAGCAGATGGATTAATGATTACATTGCTGGACTCCCATGTAGTCAACTATGGTTCAAATCCCAGATCCGGCAGCTTAAAACACACGGGGCACGTGTATGTACCTGCCTAAAATACTGAGAGGAGACTGGAGGAGAAGGTATTGCAGTGCTGCCATAACCCCTAGGGGGTGATTTGTCGCTTGCAGTCTCTCTATTTCTCTCTGTCTCTCTGGTGAGTGCACATGCCCTATAGCAAAAATCTCTCTTAAAAAAATATGAGAGAGAGAGAGAAGGATATGATGAGATGATTCACACACACATATTAAATTAATTAATTAGCATTAGAAAGATATTAATCCATGTTGGTTTTAAATAAAGTATGTTTAAAATTGAGTATTTTTAAAGAATAAAAGCAGAGGGACCAGCAGTTAGTCCAGGCTATGTCGTGGACTTCCATGTAGCCGACCGCGGGTCAAGTCCTGGACCCAGTGGCTTAAACTCACACTGGGCGCGTGTGCATACATGCCCAAGATCCCGAGAGGAGAATAAAGGAGAAGGGATTGCAGCGTGGCCATCCTCCCTGGGGGGTGATTTCTCATTTTCTGTCTCTCTCTTGCTGGAGAGCACATGCACCCTACAGCAAAAACCTCTCAAAAAATAAAAAATAAAAATAAAAAAAATAAAAACGGCAAAACCTTATTCCATTGCGGTTTTAATTTATAGCATGATCATCCAGTACCAGAAATATCAGGCTCCAATATATGTTGCTAACTAGTGTACAATTAAAACAATTTGGAAATATAATCAATAGTTTTAGCCCTACTCACACACAGTGCCTAACAGCTAAATTACTTATATTTTAAGTTATTTATATTTTAAATATAGAATTATTTACATTCTAAATAATTTTTCATAATTTATGATTTATATGTAGAGGTTTCTTTCTTCTTAATAAAATAATTTTAGGGGACAGCAGGTTGTGTGGTGGTTAAGGTGCTGGACTCCCACATGGCTGACTGCCGTCAAGACCCAGACTTGGAAGCTTAAAACTTATGCTGGGCGCATGTGTATGTGTGCCCAAAATCCCAGGAAGAGAACGGAGAAGGGGTTGTGGCATGGCCAACCCCCAACAGGGAGTGATTTCTCACTTTTCCTCTAGTTTTCAAACAAAAAATTCATTAAATAAGTCCTTTTTTAATGTAAAAAAAAAAAAATCACATAACAAACTACAGGAGGTCAGCAAATGTTATGGTGGTCAAGGTGACTTAAGGCAAAAACTTAAAAAAAAAAATTAGTAAACTACAAAAAGTTAAAAAAAAAAAAAGATATAAAATTGCATTAGGGACCAGATGGTGGCATCATGGTTAAGTTGCTGAATTTCCACATGGCCAAGTTCGAGTCCCAGCCCTGGTGAACTGCTATCTCACTTTTCCTCTCTTTCTGACTTTCTCTGGTCAAATGAAAAAGTAGTAATATTAAATAAAATTAAATAAATAATTATTTTTAAAATTATATTATATTCACTCACTAATATGTTACCATTAATTACCAATAGTATATATAGTAATAATATATATAATAATATGGTGAATGGGGACCAGCAGGTGGCATGGAGATTAAGGTGCTGGAAACTCCCACGTGGCTGACCATGGTTCAACTCCTGGACCTGGTGGCTTCCTTTCTCATTATCTCTTTCTCTTTCTGTGTGTCTCTCTGTTCAAATTAGAATAAATGAAATCAAAATAAATAATTCTTTAAAAAATAATAATAATATGGTGAATTATCATAAATGGTAGAAAAAACGAAAGACAAAGCACATGCTAAAAGACCACAAAAATATTTTTAAAAATACTAAAAAATACAGCAAAATATTAACAGGAAGACAAGGAATGATATTTTGTTTTTGTCTCCTGGGAATTTAAAAAATTTTTTCCTGTTAATTATATGTTGTTTCTCAAAGCTAAAAGTTTAAGGTAATAAAAACTTTGCCAGTACTTACCACTTATTTTTCCCATTATAGCAAATCATCCTTTTTTTTAACCTTTATCCTTTCTAAAATCAAAGTAAAACTTTTATAGTTAGTACTGTTAATCTGGAGAGACACATTCTTCCCCATAATTATTTAGTTGCTTAACTTCTAAAACAATGCCTTGTCTAAGGGAATAGGCAGGTCTTACCTTATTACCTTCTTCTTTGAATTGGGGATTAATTATTTTTACAAAAGAATAAAATAATTGCCGAATTCTGGAATCTCCAATAAATGCAATATGTTTATCTACAAGGCAGTTCTTTGCTTCACTGAAATCAACAAAGAAAATGAATTATATGAAGCAAAATCAGCATACTGGCATTTTAAAGCACATAAATTATAAAGAAAGTTACACAGGATTGTTACACATACAGTTATGTTGCTTTAGAAGTGGCTAGGTTTGTTTCATTTACCAGTCAACATACATATGATCACCTAACTCTCAGTAATAACAGTCCACATTCATTAAATGTTTAAGATGTACTAACTGTATTAAGTACTTTAAATCCATTACCTCTCTCTTTTTTAAAGTTCATCTATTTCTTCCATGAGTAAGAAACAGAAAGAGAGACAGACACCACCTCGCAGGTTCCTGATGCTGTGAACTACCTCTAACAGTCAGCCCTGGATTATGAACAGACAAGTGTCTGGTGTACTCAGAGGGTCTCCACATGCAAACTGGGAATCTTCCCTTGCAGAGCTTCACTAGGCCACAATCCAGCCCTGTATCCCTTACACCTCTTTTTAAAAGTTTATTTGTTTTTTTGTTTATTGAGGGGGGAAGATAAGCACCCTCAATAAACTCTCATTGTGTAGTCCCCTCCCCTAGCAGCCTTTCCCAACCAGCCAGGATCACAGGCACACCTTGCAGAGACAGGATGACCAGAAACCAACCCATTATCTCTTCATTCTTGGAATAGCTACATTCAGGTTAAGCGTGAGACCTGTGAACAAGGTCTATTACCTTGGGTGTGGTTACTGCTCACCTAAGATAAAGCAACTTGGTTAAAGCCCTTTCTCTAAAGCTCTAGGGTGGAAATCAGCCCTACCCCAATCCTCAGTCAGCAAGTCTCTATTCTCACATAGAGAAGAAAAGTACTCTTTGCTTCACCATTCCCTTTCCACTAGTTATTAAGACCCATCATAGAAAAGAAAACAACAAAATAGAAAATCTTACCTGATTTTGTATTTATGCATCATACAACTATGAGGTTGCCAAACTTTCTCTCCAAGAAATCTGCCGCTTGAGAGAAGGTATTCACATGAATCATTACCTATAACAGGTAAACACAACAGTATGGTAAATAGGAACATTTCTAAATGTTGGCTATCTTGACTCCATGTTCCGTGAGACCAGAGAGTACACAACTTTTTAAGCTTCATTATCCCTTCTAGGTGCATATTACTCATTCATGAACAACCTGATGTGAAGGTTATTATGGTTTATATTTCATCCTGTAAGAGACTTCCTTTTTTTAATATATTTTATTTTCTTTTCATTTATTTTATATACTTAATCACTATACACCACTTATCTTGTAAAGTGAATTTTCCATGAATATATCTCACACCTCCTAAATGCTATGTTCACTGCCTTGATAGTTCCTCCTGCTTCAGGTTTTACTTCCAGGGACATCATCTCAGCTTCAAACTAGCTTTTACAGGTGTCGATCACTCCTACTTCTAGTCAGAGAAGAAAAATTTAAGGGGAGAAGAGAAGACTTTGGAAATGACTTCCTATTCAACTATAATAATACATATTGCATGAGCATATCTGGAAACTTGGTTATACACAGAAAGTTCTATAACTAAAAAACTCCTCAGTCCCATGAAAACTGTAACCGAATCATTCTATTTCCTTTGGCCATTTTACTGCACATTAGCTAAGTTTAGATGACTACAGAGGTTAAAAAGGGCTTTCTAGGAATTAAAAAAGCTCAAATATATCAAATGGATGAGGGGAAAATGAGATGTTTATATTAACAATAAAATTGTAACAATATATAAGATTATTTAGGTTAATCTTTAATTCTTTATTAACAGTCAACAGCAAGCTATATTTGTTTCACAATTAGTTAAGGTCAGGCTCAGGAATCCAGAAGAGAAATACTGCAAAACAGAAATGGTACCGAATCATTCAGAGTGGAGATAGGAAAGACCCAAGGATATTTAAAGTAGAAGACTACATCTCTCTTTTCAATACATTATTCATTTACCTGACGAAAATATACACAAAAGGTAATAGAAATGCAAGACAGGTATGCATAAAAACTAAAAGTGATGGTGTTTCTTTATCATAAGTTCTAAAGTATGAAGAAAAATAAAAAATGCTGCTTTATGATATTGCTGGAAAATTGGATAAGGAAAGCAGGATTTCAATTATTAAATTTTTATAATCATATATGTAGCAAGATTTTTAATAACCTATCTCTAAGAAAACTAAAATAATTCTTAATTTTTTCCTATTATTAGTGCAAAAAAAAAAAAAATTAGGCCACTTAAATAACCAAGGATGAGTAAAGAAAAGATTGCAAAAACACACAATTAAGTTATTTTTCTAAGAACGGCATTATTGCAGCATTCTTTTATAATAGCTGTAAAGTAAAATCCTATTAAAAATCTAATAAATGTTTAAAATTAGGATGAAAATTTAATATTTATAGGATTTCTACCTCTTTAAATATATCTATTAAATCAAGTTAGAAGTTAGTAACACATTTATTTTCTAAAAAACTTATAAGCTGCAAATAATTAGGTATTAATTCTATGAGGTTTTTGCTATCTTTTCTTTTTCCTTTGCTCTTTTTTTTTTTTTTTTTTTTGGAGAGAGGCTTATTTAATTTTTGTTTTAAAAATAAAAGCAAAAACAAATATAGCTTAAATGGATTTTTAATGTCTGGGATAGTGTTATTTGTTTCACATCTGTATGGGTTATCAATATGATTTTATGGAAATGAAAATGCCATATCAACATTTTAAAATAACGAATCTTTTCTTCACTAGAAAAATGTGTTTAAAATACAAAGTTCTGGGGATGGCAGGTGATGTGGTGGTTGAGGTGCTGGACTTCCCACAATGGCTGACAGTGGTTCAAATCCCCAACCTGGTGGCTTCCCTTCTCATTCTCCCTCTCTCTCTCAGGTCAGACTGAAGAATAATAATAAATAAAATAAAATAAAATAATTCTTTCTTTAAAAAAGAAATATAAAGTTCTTGGGGCCAGCAGGTGGTATAGTGGTTAAGGCACTGGACTCCCAGATGGCTGACTGCAGTTAAGGTCTGTCAACTTGCTTTCTCACTTTCTGTCTCTCTCTTCCTGTCTCCTCCTGGTCAAATTTTTAAAAAAATAAATAAATAGTAATAATAAATGGAATTAAATAAATAATTCTCAGAAAATAAGAGAATGGCTTTTCATATTTGCCAATAAAATAATGAAAAATAGGGTCACAACCAGTGATGTGATGGTTTAGGATCCCACGTGGCCAATTGTGAGGTTCAAATTCCAGACCTAGTGGCTTGAAAACACACCTGGACACATGGGCATGCATGCCCAGGGTCCCAAGAGGAGAATCAAGGAGAGAGAACTACGGCATGGCCATGGCCATCCCTCCTCGGGGGTAACTTCTCACTTTTTTTCTTTCTCTATCTTTTTGTGTCTCTCCAGTAAGTGTGTGTGCTCTATAACAAAACTAAAAAGAAAAGCAAAAATCTATTGTAATGTAACTAGAAATAAATTAAATTGATTTAGAAAGCTCCATAATCTAAAACAAGCTCTCTTTTCTTTTTTTATTTTAAGAAATTCTTTTTTTCTTTTTAATTTATTCATTCATTTATTTTAATTTGACTGGAGAGAGAGAGACACACACAGAGAAGAGAGGGAAGGTGAGAAAGCAAGCCACCAGGCCCAGGACTCAAACTGTGGTAGATCATGTGGGAATGTCCAGTACCTTAACCACCATGCTACCTGATGGTCCCCAAACAAGCTCTCTTTTCTTGTAAAAGAAATTATTTTTCAATGAAATCACAAAATTATAAATCTAGACATTAAGATAATGTACCGCATTTTTATTATGTATGTATTTGTATGTGTGTGTATATATATATATATATGTATATAAATATGTATATTACAAAGTGGTGATAATCAAAACAACATTGTGCTGATGCAAGAACAGATACATAGGCCATAGAACAGAACAGAAAAGAAAAAAAACATTACTTTAATTCAACCAAATTTACGTTACCAAGTACTCAGATAAACCAAGTTATGAACACAATATAAAAAAGCAAGTAAAGAAATAGAATTATCTACTTTAGCCATCTCTAATACTAAGATTATCTAGATGAATGCTTTTTTTCTTTATTCCATTATTTTGAGTTTAAACATTCTGATTTATCAATCTATAGCCTCGGATTTTTTAGTATGATTTTCCTATGAGAAAGATACTTAAAAGCAAGCAAAATAAGCAAGTAAACAAAGCAAAAAAATGTAACAATAAGGAAAACATCCG